AACACCGCATGGCAACAGAAGGAGAACAGTGAGTGAATGACAGCATGACGCTGGCTGTTGAGGGTTTGCGTGTTGGAAGCAAAAGTGATGATTAAAAGAACTTTAACGAAAAGATATATGGACTGTTTATTTTAACGAAAAATTATATTTTTATATTAAAAAATTAATCTTGATACTATTAATTTTACATTAGTTTTCAAATTATTTTCATTAGTTTTCCTTTGATTTAAGGGAGGTTTAACAAAACACTCCATACTGTTCACTTTTAACGAAAAACTACATTTATACATTTATCTGGTACTATTTATTATACCTTTAAAAAGAGCTTTTCATTAAAAGGGAAGTTTTTTTTTACTTTTCGTTAGTTTTCTTTTTATTTAAATAGAGGGTGTTTGTGTGCGTGCGTTTTATTTAGTACATCAATATGTTTTATGCTAAAAAAATGAGAAAGATCGGCTAAACCATACAATAAACAATATAATTTGATATAAAATTCGTCATTCACAAGCTTCGAACCTAAAACATATCATTTACAAATAAAGATGAACATTATCGCAATACTAATAACTTGTGTGTGCTTGTTTAGGAGACAGCAGGGTGAATCCCTAGGTGGATATGATTCCCCTATCTTTGCTAGGAGTAGCTCCTTTCAGTTTTCCCCTTTTCAATGATACTTCACCCCCTTTTAGTTGAAAAAAGATCCTCTCCGGATCTATTCCATCAAGTCTACCAGATTAAATGATCCGAATCTTTTAAATTTTATCCAACAGCTTATCTGTTTTAATTCTTTAAAAGTTATAATAATTTTTTATCATTAGATAAAATTTTAAAACTTCAAACTACTTGATCCGATGATATTGGTGAAAGAAATACTCAAAGAATATCTTCTCCTTTTAGTTTATGGTGGAATTTTTTAGTACTGACCCCAAGATGTCTCTATCATATATACTCTAATCACCGACGTCACATTTCAATAATGGTGGCTTTTGAGAGCAAAGATTTTTGCCCATCATCTTATTTATCATCGTTGTAAAAACTTAAATTTTAAGATTTATGTATTAAATAAACATAAATTTTAAAATTTATACTTTTCCAACTATGATAAATAGGATGCTACTCACCCTCAAACAAAAATGCAACCTTTTGCTGCAATGATTCACTTCTTGAATTTTCAATGCACTCCCCATTTATAAGGAGATTTTTATAAAGCGAGTAAAGAAAAGACAAAAGTTTAGTAACATCTTAGTTGAAGCATACAGAACACGAGGATGGATGACTAAATGTTTAGCAAGAAAGGTATGTAAAACCCTCCCTTGAATAATTATAAAATTGCAGATGAGTGTGTATAAAGGTCTTGTAAACCTATGTTATTTGGATGTTATTCCAAATCCGAACCCGTCCATATTCAACGCGATTTTAAATCTGAACAAGTGATTCTTTTAGTTATATCCGGTTCATTGATTGGGTTGAGTTGGGTTGATCATTTGCCCGTTCATCCCCAACCCAACTCGACTAACCAAATCCAATCTAACCATATTGTAACCCATATCAATTAATGCTCATATTACACCCAAGTGAGCCAAGTCCAAAAACCAACACGCTTTCTAATATTTTTTTTAATAAATTACCCTTTATAATTACTTAAGCTTTTTAAGGCTTTGATTAGTCAGCCCATATTTGTAGTCTCTAAATCCTAAAGCTTTATAGTAGATGGATTTCTGAAATTAAAGTTAGCTAGCTTTGATGCTACTTGGCTTAATTTTTTTAGGAATTCATGAAAACTAAGTTATTACAAGATTAAACTTAAAAAAGTTGGGCAACCCGAACCCAACCCAAGTAAACCCTAACCCAATTAAACCCGAGTCCAAATGAATCCGAATGAAACCTAACCAGAACCTGAACCTGAATTGTAAAAGTTGGATTAGGATTGGGTTGACCTTCAACCCGCCATAGTTGCACCCCTAACAGCGGTAAGTTTCAAATGAAAAAGTCTCAAACAGGCGACAAGCCTTAAAAAGGCCCAAGCTCTAATACCGGCTAAAAAGGCCCAATGATCATTCCCTTATTTTCTTCCCTTCAGAAAAAATAGAAAACAAAAGAAAGAAAAAAACACACTGAAACCTCTACTGTTTCGTTTTGGCAGATTGAACCATTTCGAAAGCTCTGAACTTTGAGCACTTCAGTGAGTTCCGAATCCATCACTTCAAGCTTTCTTTGCAAGACATCCAATTTGGTAAGCAACTCTTAGACTTACTTCTCTCTTGGTCCTATTTTCGGAAATTAAATGCTCTGTTTGGTTCCCCAGAAAATTCAGGAAAAATTGAAATCGAAATCCTGTATATTTCCAACTTTCAGTCGATTAAACCCAAATATCATTTGTGCCAATTTCATGGGATAAATTGTCTCTTTGTTACGATAATTTATGTTTTCTTGGTTAAATTTCAATTCCCATTTCATTTTGCTTTTTAGTTTAAATTCCTGGTGAGATGTATATAATGTAAAGGTTCGTTCTTTGTTTACTATATGTTAAATTAGGAAGAACCCATGTCGTGAAATCGATTATTTTTAGCGCAGTTGGTGTGAGTTTGGAGGTTAAGAAGTTGCACACCAATTGTTTGATAGAAGAATCAACCATTGGGCAATCACTTTCAATCGCTCCCTTAGAGCTTTTATTTCTCTTCCTTTGATCTGATACATGCCACATGGTGTGGTTTGAATCCAATACAATCATGGGGTTCACATACTCTGTGTAGTTACTATAGGCGCTTAGGGATAGAGAGTATATTCAGGTTTGAAAGTTTGAATAGGAGATCTTCCCTAAATATATTTTTTTTGTTTGGAGTAGCCGAAATTGAAGGAAAGATGAGAGAAAATCGGTTATGGTGGTTTGGGCATGTGAAACGAAGGCCTATAGATGCTCCGGTTAGAAGATGCGATTACGACATAGAGGTTCGGGGCCAAAGAGGTAGATGAAGACCTAGGAAGACTTTGGAAGAGACTCTAAGAAAAGACTTGGAGTACTTAGATCTAACGGAAGACGTGGTACATAACCAAGCGCAATGGCGTTTTTGGATTCATATATCCGACCCCAGTTAGTGGGGAAAGACTTTGTTGTTGTGGAGTTTTGGTTTGGTTGACTGAATCATAGACCGGTGGAAATCAAGGACTTCCATTCCATTGCTGCCTAAGTTAGTAGCTTTGGTTTATTCTTTGATGTTTTGCTGCATTGTGGGAGTTATATATATGATGGTAATACTGCATTGATGCTTCATTTTTCTTCATGTAGGACTAGTCTATACATAATTCTGCTGTTTTTCTTCACGTTTCATTTTTCGAGCACCCAATTGTGGTCCATAGATAGTAAAAAATTTCAGTTAAAACTTTTATGAGTGAAGTTCTGAATTATATTCCGCTGTTTTTCTTCATGTTTCATTTTCGAGCAGCTAATCGTGGTCCATTGATAGTCAAAATTTTCAGTTAAACTTGTATGATTGAAGTTCTGACTTATGTGCAAACAGAAATGGGTATCCCTCCTGTCAGGCCACCTAGTATTACAAAGTATCTAAAGCCCTATGTCCTGAAGATGCACTTCACAAACAAATACGTAAGCGCCCAGGTGATCCACACACCAACTGCGACTGTGGCATCTTCTGCAAGCTCCCAAGAAAAGGCCTTGAGAGAAAGCATGGAGATACGTCGTGATGTTGCTGCTGCTGCAAAGATTGGGAAGATATTAGGGGAGCGCCTGCTGCTCAAGAACATTCCCGCTGTATCTGTCCACTTGAAGAAAGAACAGAAATATCACGGTAAAGTTAAAGCTGTCATTGATAGTGTGGTTGAAGCAGGTGTTAAACTACTCTGAAGAATCACTTGAGTGTACTTACATTAAGGTAGTCAGCATCAGTTGTCCTTGTTCTAGACGGGCTGCCGGGGAATGTAAACCGAAGGATTGTGTGGTAGGATATGTCTTTCGATTGCTATGCTACGGTGATCATGAACACTGGTGGAACTTTTGATTTTTCGATGTAATGTTCTGGTTGGATGTTGATTTTGATTTCAACGATATTATTCATCGGATTGCAACTTATGAAATGCGATCACGAGAATCAGCATATCATCAGCTTGGTTTAGGGCCTATTTGGGGTTGAAAGCACTTTCGAGAAAAACATGAGGGATTTTTGGCGGTGTTTGACAAAAATAACTGAAAGTGCTCATGGTTATGAAGGAGAACGTCACATGTTTGAAGGAGTACACATATTCAATTACATTTTTCTTTTGGTAGGAAGGTTGGATCAAGCTTGAAATTCATAGAAAAGCCCGGCCCAAACCGGAAAACCATACCCAAATCCAAGTTGCAGGCCTAGAAGCCAATGACCCAAAATAGCAAACAAACAAAGCAAGCCCAATTGGATGGGATTGTGCAACCCGGATGCCCAGGTAGCCGTACTAAAACCTACTCAAGTATGTCATATGTTTTAACTTACTCACATAAATTACGTAATTTGTTTTTCCAATATCGTCATCTTACTAACCAAGCCGGATGTACTTCAAGGTTTTGAATAATCATCTTAACCAATTTACCTAAATGCAAATAAAATGAGGGCATTATAGTATCTCACTCTTACTTATTGGAAAGATTTTTTAGTGTAATCGAAATATAGACACATAAACGATATGTCATTATACATATAGAAAAACACTAAAATAAAATCATTTTCATCTATTTATATAAGAACATATGACATACCGTCTTGTGTTACGTCATAAAATATCCCATTAACCTTTACCAAAAAAATAAAATATCCTATTAGCCTGGGGTCCGCTTTAGTCACCTCGATCTTATCGCCAACTACGTGCTCCCCGATCTACATGCCACGTCAGCACTCCCTCTGGATCCGACGAACGTTCAAGATATCTCTCGATCTGAAAACTTGTTCGACCTTTAACGCCTCCGCCGTCAATAAATAACCACCCGATCTGCCTCCTTCACTCCCTCAGTGGTCCAATCCCACTACCAAAATAGTTAAAGTGCGGCAGTTCTGCTACCGTTCGGGGATCCTGCAGTAACATGGGACTTCGCCTACTTGACCAGCTTTGGGACGACACCGTCGCCGGGCCGCAGCCCGACAGCGGTCTCGGGAAACTGCGGAAGCACAAAACCTTCAGTTTCCGGTCCAGCTCCGCCACTGGTGCGTCGTCGTTTTAGTACTTGTTAGTCGCCGTGTATTAGCATACGCGATGAACACAACTAACTGCCAAACCTTTTTCCAAATTTACATTAAATTTCCAGGAATAAAAGCTTTTAATCGATAATCTCAGATCATTTGCAAATAGATCAAACGGTTGAAAATGAAATTGCAACATGAAATTTTTACATCATGCGGCTGATACTAATTACGAGTGGGAATCTCGCCGGAAGTTTAATTGTTTGTTTTGGTTTGGTTGAATTAGGATCGTCAGATGGCGGGAACGTACGATCGTACGGTGAGAATTCGACGGAGGAGGCGAAAGTTACGAGGAGTATCATGATAATTAAGCCCCCAGGTTATGGGAGCGGTAACGGCGGATCAGCTCCGGTTTCGCCAGCTGGGTTCACGCCTCCGGCTTCGCCAGCCGGGTCTACGCCGCCGGTGTCCCCGTTTTCTGGTGAGTATTTGAAATGTCAGATATGCCCCTGGCTCCCTGCACGTAGGACCTAGTTTCCACAAATGGTATTGGTGAAGCTTCCACTCATCACGGATGTGTAGGGTAACAAGGGGTGTGGTAGTAATTTAACACGCTGTAGTGTCAAATTTCAATGTTCTAGAATGTGGATGGATTTCTGTGTAGGTACATGCAGCTGTTCATATTGTGATAGTTATGTTTGTTTGTTAAATTGACATTTATGCCCTTGTTGAGAATAGTATCAAATCTGACCACAAGTGATCGGTATACAAGATGTACATCGTTTATTATTATACAAATAATAGAATATGTGAATTAAAAAATTAATAATTTAAAAAAAAATTATTTTCCACCGTATATAAAAATATATAAGTGTTTCCGTTACAATAAAAAATTCTCAACGAGTTGAGCAGTCTTTAATATTCGTAAAGAGTAGTAAGTTGACTTTAACGAGTCGAGCAGTGTTACGAGGCAAATGTTGATAGTGCTGTGTTTTTAGGTGGCAGGGAACCATTCGGGCGGTTTCGAAGAAGGTCAGCATCGGATGCATACGAGAAGGCGAGCGAGGTCGCTGGAGCAAGGAGCGCCCGTTCTCCTTACGACGTGTAACATATGAGTTCTTGTCCAATCGAAATCATCCGTGAGATTCGAGATGTGAGCCCTCCTCACGGCATGCGATGAGATGAACATGTTTTCTGTGGACGGATTAGCCATGACTGGAAGGAAAAAGAAACTGTCTAGGGTTTCCGCGTATTGTTTTGGGTGTTGTTTGTTCTGAGTTGCAATCTAGTTGATGTGCGACTGTAGAAGTGTAGTGGTTGAATCTCCGCTGTTGCTAGGGTTTGGGTGTGTTCGTTCCGAGTTGCTAGGGTTTCCATGTTGCTAAATCTGCATAATCTCTGCTGTTATTTGTAAATAGTGTTTAATTTTCCCTTGCAAGTTCCTGCTGTGGTATTTTGAATTAATAAAACTGGATATTAGGTCGTACATGTGTAATGTTTTATGATGTGGTACTGGATCTATATAACCTGGTGCTTGTGTCAATATTTCTCGTTTGTAGAAATATATCTTATCCATTGGCGCTATTCGTCGTAGTTGTAAGTGTGGACGTATGGCCGGCGGATTCGGGATTAAGAATTTCAGCGTAAAACATTCAAGTTCTATTTAGATGAAATGTGCGCGTAGCACGCAAAAATTTGTCGTGCATTTGGTGGACTAATGGTTATTGCGTTATATTGACAAAGCCAAAGCAATTTGTAGAGTGATGTCGAGACCCCAGGCTGATCGTGGTTGACACGTCTTGTTAAATGTTGTCGAGATATTTCTAGAAGGCATTTCATCAAAGGATCGTCTGTGTCATGCGTTTGGAGAGTCGTCGAAGGATTTTTACATGTGTTTTTCGGGCAGTCGGAGGGTATTGGGATCATCCGAATCTCTATGTGGATCCGGCCATTGCCACAAAGGACCCTATTTCCCGAGACCCTAACTTGATGCCAGAAACATTGATATGAATATAACGTCGATTGAAATTTCCGTTGGTACAACTCCGTTATTGCTTATCCATCTGGATTGTTGAAAGATGCTCTTGTTAGTATAACTTGTACAGAGAACACGAGACGAATCTTATCCATCTGGGATTCTGGGATCATGATCTAGTAAAACTTATCCTAATGCCCATCCGTGATAAGTTAACGGAGCTGTGTACGGACGTATGGGCCAAAAGGGACCATGCCGCTGCCCCTAACCTAACCTAACATTGATATGATGATATGCTTATAACAGAATCTTGTCTATATGATGAGATGCATATATCTTCATTTGAAGAGTGGAAAATACGAGAGATGAAGTTGACACTCCACTAACCTTATTAGGGTAGTGCTGTCCACCATTTCTTTTTAGGCATCACACCTCTTTTTACTTCTCATATAGTCCTTTAATTTTCAACCGTCAGATCGGATGAATTGAAGAAGATTAAGAGACAAAAATCATCAAGAGATGTGTGAGAAGTAAAAAAAGGTGTGTGGATAGCACACCCTTTCTTTTTACTTCTTATGCACTCTTCTCAATCTTCGACCGTCTAATCGAATGAATTAAGAAAATGTTATGATGCAAAATTAACAAATACGTGTGAAGGTAAAACAAATGTGTAAATAGCATTATCCTGTTATATTAAATACTAATAAAAGTTCGACTGCAATAGTACATACCATTCAAGTAGGAGTTTTATAAAAAATTTAATCGTTGCAAAGATTAATTAGAACGCAACATGAAAGATCTAACAGTTCTTTATTTTTCTTTTTGAAGCCCTCAACATGAAAGATCTAACCGTTCTTTATTTTTCTTTTTAAAGCCCTCAATGATACGTAACATGAAAATTTAAAAAACATAAAGACATTAAAGCAAAATAAATGAGATAAAAATGGACACACTGAATCATGATGACAATGCCACCAGCACCTGCTTTGGGTGGGGGTCGATGGCAACCCCCTTCCCTGGCCAATTCCAACTACTTTTCCTTCTCTTTTATCTCCTTAGCTTCTCTGTATTTTACTTAGACCCCTTGTATTTTGGTTTTCTTGAGCTTTCGTCTCATTTTTTTCTGCACTTATCTTAAATTTGGGCTTTTATGTTGCTTTTTTGCTCCAATATTGTTTTCCATCGCACCCCTTAAATAACTCACCTTTGTTTTTCGGCTTATCAGATGCCTTATTTTGATGCACTTTGGTGTTGTGTGGTTGTTAAAATGCTATCAGTATAATTTGGTAAGATTATAGAAACGTTTTTAGCATATTGTGATAACATATTGTATGTTATTTATTATTTTTTCGTTGCATATCCAACAATTCAAATTAAATTTATTCCAAAAGTATACCCCTCATACGAAGAGCCATCCCGTGGTAGGTGGGTCCGCCACCTCCTCTTGGTGCTCTAGTGTCGTAAGGATTTCAGGCGGTGCTTGACTCAGAATTTGGGAAATGGCGTCGTCCTTTTCTGAGCCACAGCTGCAGTGCACTAGTCAATTCCAGACGCAGTGGAGCGCCCAATGGCAAATCTGTTTTTGGAGAAGAATGAAGAGAAGGCAAAAGAGGGAGAATAAGAATCAAGAAAGGGTTTGGAATGGTGGGGCGGTTGTGGCGGTGGGTGATTCTTGTCTTAGGGTTATAAGATTTTTTTAGACGGGTTACTTTTGGGTCTTATTGGGTGGAATCTGGCTTTTGGACCGAGCCATTGAGAATCTTTACTCATGCGATGAATGTATAAGTGACGTTTCATTTGTACCTACCTTAGTTATAAGGCTGTTGTCTTTGTATTGTGTCCGTTTGAACTTTGTTATAAAATTCCTAAAAAAAGAAGGGGTTTTTTTATATGGGTCCAAAGTAACTAAAAATTGAACCTATTTCAAAAGTTAAAAGGCACTAAAAATTAGACCTATTTCAAAAGATGGCCTATAAAATTGGACTTATTTCAAATTTTTTCAAAAAAGAAAGGGTTTGGAATGGTGCCAATTTTTATTTCTCTATTTTAAGTAGGAATAAATTAGAAATATTATAAATTTATGTGGATGTTTGTAGAAATATGTAAAAATAAGTACAGAAACGAAAGGGCAACATATATGGGCCTCCAACCTGAGTCCATGTTTCCCTTCCGACCCGGTTAGCAGTTTGGGCCCTTCACCACAGGCCTGAGACTTGTGGTACATCGGGTCACCGGGTACCCACCACAACCACTGTTCTCATCGGGTCAGTTTTTGTTAAAGAGTTCTAACGAACATTCTCGTTATTATAACGAAAAATCATATTTTTATCTTTTTTGATGTTATTCATTTGGCTCTTTATTTATTATTTTTCATTAAATTTAAAGTTTCATCGGTTTTTGTTTTGCCTCACTTCCGTCAGGACTCTGATTCCGAGTCTTTCAGCAGCTCTCATATGGAAGAAACCACCGAGTGACGAAAAATGGGTTGCGCGTCTCTGATCCTGCTGCTCCTTCTCAATACACTCGTCCCCTCTTTAAATGGTAAATACATACATACATACACACACTCATATATATATATATATATATATATATTAAATATCATTTTTCTTGTTTGTTTTCAGATCCTAATTGTTTGATTTTCAGATCCTAGAATCAGTTTGATGTGGAGGCACTATTCTAAAAATCCCCGCCTAGCGCCGTCTAGGCGGTTAGCAGTTAGTCACTGCCCCGATTAATGCCTAGACGTTTGAAAATTAAGAAAGAGCGTTTAGATCACCTAGGCACCTGCCTAGGCACCCGTCTAAGTTGCGACTCACTTAGATAGAAAATAAATAACTTTTATTTTGTATTTTATTTTTTTAATAAATTGGAAGAGACTTGTTGAATACTTAAATGAATACACATTATATGCTTCTTCCCCATGTTTTCATTATATTCCAATACTTTCTAATACATATGTCATTCTATTTTTTAGTTTATAATAAAGTTATATATATTTTAGGTATAAGCAGACACTTACTTACACGAAATGTAATAGATTTACTTAAATCTGCCTAGTCCACCTAGGTGCCTGTCTAGGTCCCGTCTAGCGCCTAGTTTATTTTAGAACCTCGTGTGGAGGTCTATGTCAATTATGTCTCTGGTTGACAAGCCATGAAGGGGCATGCTCTTTTTTTGAAGCTGACATAAGTTGTCTTTGGCGTGCCCCGACTGCCTTATCACATCTTACGAGTGCATGATCATTGTTCATTTTTCATATGTAATGGCGGTGTGGAAATTGGAAGCAATCTGCTTGTTGTTTCCTTAATCAGCAGAATGACATCTGCTTTCTGGATTTGCCCTCGTATCGGTGTTGCTCTTGTAATCTGATTTATGTATGTAAGCATGGTTTATTTCTTTAACTTAAAAGGCAACCAGAAGAAATTCTGGTTCTTCCCAAGAATCCCAAGCAAGAATGTAATTGCATTTCTTGTGGGGCAATACGTTAGGCTTTTCCGGTTCGCAGTGACAATCATCTTCAAGAGTGTTACCAAATTATTTTGGAGAAATTCAATTCCTATGTAAAGAATTTTTTACATGGTTTTCAAATGATTTTTGCATATACGCTAGTTAGTCATTAAACGTTATCTAAATCTGTTTTAGTTGCAGGTAAACCTGACAGTGTATGCATTTCTCAAGGCGGTCGTTTCCCACCATTCTCTTCCGAGGGTAAACCTCCAAAACGTCTGAGTAAGGGACCCAAAGATCTGACCCTTTGCAGAGTGTTCCGCAAAAAAACTTGCTGTGATGTAGCCCAGACACATCCTGCACTGGTATCCGTTAGGAAGTTGGCTTCATCAGGGGAAGCTGGCCCAGAGTGCTTGCATGTATGGGAATTACTGGAATGTTCCATCTGTGATCCCCGCATTGGCGTGCAGTCAGGACCTCCAGCTATATGTGCCTCTTTCTGTGACAGGGTTTTTGAGGCTTGTGCTGAGGCTTACTACTCTACGGATGCAATAACACAGGTATGTGGGTGACCTTTAACTTCCAGTCGAGGAATATTTTTACCGACTTATAATTTGACATAACCAAAGAAATAGGTGATTAAACTGATCTCTTTTGGGTGCATTAGGGAATTGCATTTTGTGATTAATTACATTCTTCCAGGTTCTAGCACCATGTGGAGTAAATGATTATGTTTGCGGCAGGGCCTCTGAATGGATTCGTAATGGCACGGAGTTCTGCCATGCGGCAGGATTTGCTGTTAAAGATGATGTATCCATGAGCAACGAAGAAGCATTTTGCTATGGTGGTAAAGCCAGTCTTGACTTGATTGCTGATTCATGGAAGGCTTCACCTTCTGAGGTGCCCCAGAAAGCTGAGAGCTTGAGGCTGCTAGAGGAATTCCAGCAGAGGTGGAGGGAAATGCCATTTAGTGAACGAGTTTCTTGGGCCGTCGGAGGATTGGTCCTTACAGCCGGCCTATTGTTTGTAAGGTATGCCCTTCTTCTGCCGCCACATTTCAATTGCCATAATGAGATTTTGTAGTGTTGCTAGCTTGGATCGTTTTTCGCTTCGCTGTTGATCTTTTCTTTGTTCATGTCTTTATGCAGCAAACGAAAACGACGTAGCCAGCGCCACAATGTAGCCGCTCTACGAATCAGGAAATTTGAAGCCAAGATAAGCCAGAAATCTCCTAGTAGTCCGAGAAGTAGGAGAAACAAGTAAAAGATGTATTTCTAGTACGGAAAACGTTTAGTTATAGAAAGTTTGTTGCTCCTTTGCTATTCTGCGAGCACCGAAATGTATTAGTTTTAGCATTTCTTCACTTGCATTCTTCTCAAGCGATCGATCGTCGTTGCAATCCGAATACTTTACCGGACCATTCAATCGGTAGGAGCAATGACGGTGTGTACAAAGGGTAAGGACGTAGTCAACACGAGTTGATAACTCATGCTTACTAGGAATTCCTCGTTGAACACCAACAATTGCAATGATCCATCCCCATCACGATGAAATTTCAAAGAATAACTGGGCCTGTCAGCCAAGGCTATCCCGAAACTGTCCAAGAGGAAATCATAATTTCGTTCATTTATCTTCGCAAAGACGTGTAGTTCTTCACTGGAGAAGATGTCAAGAACATATGCTTGGGAGTTGGGAATTCACCTCTTACATCATATAAGAAAAATACCTCTAAATTGTATAACAAAATGGATATGACCATCTTACGATGAATTTGATAAAGATGATCACTCCACATACAAATACAAAACAAGTAAATATGGTTAGGGTATACGCATGACTCGTAAAGCTCAGACCTAACACTCCGAAAAACAGAAAAGTCAAGACCACATTGATGAAACTAACATATGTTCTTCATTTCTTGTTGATGTTACCGCGGATAGTCTTCAGTATCTTCAATCTAGATGTTCCATCTGCATAGCAAGGCAAAAGATTTAAAAATGAAACACTAGTTAAAACACCGGCGATGGCCATAAATACAAGGACACTGAACGACGTACCTTCCAAAGGCCATCGTTAAGATAGTGCATGTTGTCAACTCCGATTCCCTTGTTGATATCTCTTCTGCAAGACAAGGGGAAGACTCAACTTCGTAACTAAGACAATCAGCAACGGATAACTAGGCTAGCTTTGAAGTCGGTAATACAAGTTAGGCTCTCGTATTATATATCTTGTCCTCAATATTCTAAGGGTACCCAAGGCATTACTCAAGGAGAAGCAACGATAATGTCCTTCGAATAAGAAAATAACTTACATTTCTTTTGCTGACATTTTTGTGAAGCCAATTGCAAGAGCATGTTGTTTTCCTTCTGCCATTATTGCCTGAGCGTAATCAGTTTTACAAATCAGAGACATACAAAACAAACTTAACTTCAACATTTCCGTCTCATGACAAGACAATTATTTAAATCAACTCGACATAACATTTGAACCAAAAAAGTTCTAACATGAGTATGACGTTACATTAATACAAAGAAAAAAAAGAGACATAAAACTCGTACCACGGGAGTTTCTGCACCCACTTCATCATCCAAAGCACCACCGGGAGAAGTTAGACCTGGACACATTATGTTTGCACCAGAGAGAACAAACCTTATGGCACCCCTATCTACTTGCAACTTTTTCATTATGTCTGGATCTGTAAAACCCGAAGGAAACCCTGAGCTTTCTCAGTTACAACTATTTGGAAGGAAAATTCACCAACTATGTAGCTTTTTAGTTGAGAAAAATAATATAATCCACTCAAAAGACGAAGCAAATCAAGGATTGTATAACTGGTTCATAGACCAGACTTGATGAGATAAGGCATTTTGGCGGTAAAAAAACTTTTACATTGATGAAGAAGTCTTAGGGTAGGCATATATGGTCCATCACGAATGTTGAAAAATAGTGGCACGTTGTTTACCACTACCAAATTTAGATGGTTCTGACTGCAAAAGTCGAGCATGTGGAGGACAACGTTAGATATATGGAGATAATACAGCATGAAACAAATAGCTGAGTTAAGAAGTAAAACACAGAAGCAGGACCAACAGAGCGACAAACCATTTAGCCACAATAAGAGGAGATTTCTTTGGGATCAAATCTTCCAACACCTGTTCGAGTCCCGGGTACTGCAGTTGAAGTTAACTTTGTGTTACAGACATATGTAAAGTGTATCTTAAAGCATCCGTGAAATTCCTATGAACCTAATCATCTTACCTCATCTGCAATACTCTGCCGAATTTTGCGCTGGACAGATGCCTTAACTTGATTTTGTGCAGACACCTCTTCAGTAGAAAACCTACAACATAACACACGTATTATGCAATCATATTACGAAATATTCCCCTTACGCATCTATTGCAACAAACAAAAATTTGCTACTCCAAACCACTCCCACACAAAAACAAATATTTGAGAACCCTAACCATCCTCCCCAAATAATTAACCTCATCTTCCATAAAAACCCAAAAGAAGTGACCTTTCAAGATTCATCTTAACATCAAAACATCCCACATACAGCACAAAACCAACTTTGCTGAGAAGGATCAAGCTTTAGAACGGTTGCTTAAACCACAGAGAAGCAATGGCACAATTCAAATTTATACTTCCACAACAACAACGCCTTATGGGTCAGCTGTATAAATCTTAGAACGCCACTGCGGTTGATTTTGCGCCCGTTAGCTCCAAGTATTCAAATTTATACTTCCAATTACACAAAATAACAAATGAACTTCAGGGCATAAATCCAAAATTAAAACCCATAAAGGTATATAATCAGAAAACACAATTGAAAACAAAATTGAAACGCTGTTTAATTTTTCATCGAATTAAACCGAACCCAGAAATCATATGCCTCAATGATAAAAAAAAAAAAAAAAAAAGAAAAAGAAAAGCAAACAAATAACATATATTTAAAGATAAACACCTATACATACAATATATATATATATATATATATATATATATATATAAAGCTTACTTCTTGAACATTCTGGAAATGGAGGATGAAGAAATCTAAGATCTTCAAGAGCAAGCAAAGAAAACCCTTCAACTGGTATTAAGGTCGAACAATACAACCTTGAATTCTGCTTCGAATTTTTCTTTTGTAGCACTGACTGGTGCGGAATCTAGTGAGCTCAGCCGCGCACCATAGCCCGCGTCGGTGTAGCTAGTTGTAAGCCACTTTTTGGGCCTTTATAGGTTGGGCTAGCCTGCAAGTAAATTTAGGGTTTGGGTTGGGTTATGTGTTCTTAGGCAAAGTGACTTTTCATTGAAATGAAACTGATCCATTGTAAAGGCCCACTTTCTTAAAGTGCAAAAGAGACGTGGATGTTATTAATGATTCGTTTGAAAGTGCTTTTAAATTGACTGAAAGTGTTTTTAGTAGAAATGTTTTTGGAACCAATCCTTAGTAAAAAAGCAAGTGAATTGTGAAAAAGTACTTGAAGTGTTTTCTGAAATAAGCACATTTAAATGTAATTGAGTGTCTGCAGGAGCTTTCAGCAGCCAAATTGCATCCTTACTCAAACCTTCCTAATTGCAATAGGTGGCAATTTAACCCAGTACAATTATTGGTGATATCTATTGTTTCATCACCTCAACTTTGGCTTTTTTTTTTTTTTTATTTTTATTTTTTATTTTTAAGATTGTCATCTAAAAGATAAATACTTTTTGATCGAGAAACTATAAGGAGATTTTTTTTAAAGTGAGATTCTCAATGGACTTTTTATTGCTGCATGTTTTTAGTATAATATCTAATCACATTTAGACACGTGTCTACATAATTAAAAGTATAAACACAAATTGAACATGTGTTTAAATGTAATTGGGTGTCCGCAGGAGTTTTCAGTAGCCAAGTTGCATCCTTACTCAACCCCAAGGACACCCACTAATTGCAATAGGTAGCAATTTAACCCAATACAATCAAGGAAAATTAACGAAAAGTTCACTTTTAATGAAAAGTCATTTTTAAAGGTATAATAAATAATACCAAAAAAATGTATAAATGTGATTTTTCGTTAAAATGAACAGTACTAAGAATATTTTGTTAAAACTCTCGTACAATTATTGATGATATCTATGGTTTCATCACCACCACTTTAGCATTTTACTTTTTAAAAGATTGTCATCTAAAAGATAAATACTTTTTTATCGAGAAACTATAAGGGTATCTTTTTAAAGTAAGATTCTCGATAGGTTTTTTTTGTGATTGGAAGTTTTTAGTATAATATTTTATAATGTTTACATGTGAGTTCGCGTTAAATTATGAAGTGAGTATAAAATTATAAATATATTTTTAATTTACGAGGAAGGTTTTGTTCAGTCCTAACGCATGAGAGGATGAAATTTTGCACAATGTCGGTATCAGGGTTTGATGCACCCAGTATTCTAATATAAGTAGTTATTTTTTTTTTTAATTTTCAAATATTAAACTAATTGTATTATAACACTTATTATACTGATTGTTTTCGGGAAGGATGAAAAAAATTCAACCCTGCCGGATGAGGAGCACTGACTGAGGACCAAAAACATGAGTCCACGTGTTCCACGTTGCTATCATGCGCCCCCACTTGGTCGTCAACTTTGAAGGTTTCAACAAAATTGAAATTACATGGCGCTGCGAGAAAAATGTAGAGATAAAGAAACGTTCAAGGCAAATCCCAATTTTCTGACGCATCTTATCCCAATCATTCATTCGCTTTCACCCTCAATTTCCTTCTGTTGCTTCTCCCACATCCAAAACTCAAATTTTTTTCTTTTTCTGTTATCTGTTGTTGTTTTGTCAAATTTTGCAGCTAATAAATTGAATTTCTCAGCCTATCTTTGTTGACCCAGTTGATCTTTCTTATTATTCAATTCAAAAAGTTGGGTTCTTGATTCAAATCTCTAGATTCCAGAGCAACCCATTTATCCAATCTGTCTGGTTCTTCAGAAATTGAACAATTTCAATCTGGGTTCTTTCGAGCAGAAAAGATGATGATGATGACAATGGAGGGGATGATGGATAAGGGTGTGTTGGATGATATAATCAGGAGGTTGTTGGAAGGTAAAGGAGGGAAGCAAGTGCAGCTATCGGAGGCGGAGATCCGGCAGCTCTGCGTTAACGCCCGCCAAATCTTCCTCGCTCAGCCTAATCTTCTCGAGGTCCGAGCTCCGGTTCGCATATGCGGTCAGCTCTCTCTCATCCTCTCTCACAGCCTTTTTATGGAAATTATGGTGATTTGAATTGTCCAATTTAAAAGATCATTTATTTTTTGGTGTTTGCTTGTGGATTATGTAAATATTTGGTATTGAATAAGAATGGTGGTGAAAAATGGAAATTATACAACAACAGCAACCAAGTCTTATCCCACCAAGTGGGGTTGGCTACATGAATCCTAGAACATTATTGCGCATGGATTTGCGCCGGTCTTCCGTTAGCTCTCCATATCTTTTCTTATGATAATTCGAATAAATTGGAGTGTGTGAATTTTTGGTTTTTCATGTTCTGTAATGGATAATTAACTTATGCAAAATTCTGTATGAATTTTGAGGAAAATAGGATATTTCCGATGCTATCTTCATTAGATCAATTCGGAATCTGTTTGAGTGATCGAGATGTGTCGAGGTGTTGGCATTGTATGCCATTTTGTTCATTCAATTGTTCATTTTCTGGTCAAAAATGACAACGAAAGCCAACGAAATGGTTATTGTTTTTCGTAATGACCGGTTTATTTCGCTGGCTATAAGGATAACATAATCATGTACTTTTTTCTTAATCAGCTAACAAAATTATTGTTTTTCGCAATGCTGGTTTATTTTGCTGCATTTTGAGTACTCGATATCATTGAGTTTGTGTCGTTCGGATCAGTTTCTTGGTCCTGTTATCGTACCTCATGGCACAGTCCAAGATATGCTAATGTAGCTTGCATGAAACACAGGGAAATGAACTTGAAGGCAAACATTCGTACAATTATCTCCTTATATTTCTTTATGTCCTTGGTCTTCCTAATATTGCAGGCGTCTTACAGGTGATATACATGGACAATACCAAGACTTACTAAGGCTGTTCGAATACGGTGGTTACCCTCCTTCTGCAAACTACCTGTTTCTAGGAGATTATGTAGATCGAGGAAAGCAAAGTTTGGAGACAATCTGTTTACTTCTGGCCTACAAAATAAAATATCCTGACAAAGTTTTCCTTTTGAGGGGAAACCATGAAGATGCAAAGATTAATCGAATATATGGGTTCTATGATGAGTGCAAAAGGAGGTTTAATGTTAGGCTTTGGAAAATATTTACTGAGTGCTTTAACTGTTTGCCTGTGGCTGCACTTATTGATGGGAAGATACTTTGTATGCATGGCGGGCTCTCACCAGAGTTGAAAAACTTGGACCAAATAAAGGAAATTTCAAGGCCAACTGACATTCCAGATAATGGTCTTTTATGCGATCTGCTTTGGTCGGATCCTGATGCTAGGGTTGAGGGCTGGGCAGAGAGTGATCGAGGTGTTTCCTGTACTTTTGGAGCCGATAGAGTTACTGACTTTTTAGATAAGAATGAACTTGATCTCATTTGCCGGGGTCATCAGGTAATCCTATTTTTATTTGATGAAATTGAATCCAAGTAACAAATGACCTAATTGTATATGTCATATGTGTGTAGCCAAAACAAGCCTTCCCACCCCATCTCACTTTTTTCATTCCCTGGCACCTCTAGGCGTCCTTTGTGCAGATCGTTTTCACTATTTGCTGAATTAACTTGCATAGTCACTTAATCCTACTTGTCCTGATTAATAATTATGTAAGTGACACCGCAACACTGTAGGTGGTGGAGGATGGCTATGAGTTTTTTGCAAAACGAAGATTAGTCACAATATTTTCAGCTCCAAACTATGGCGGGGAGTTTGATAATGCCGGTGCTTTGTTGAGCGTTGATGAAGCCCTAGTGTGTTCCTTTGAGATATTGAAACCAGTTGATCATAAAGCATCCCCGAGTGGTTCAAAGCCAAATCTTAAAAAGGTATTTGTGTCGCCATTTATATTTGTTATGATAATATTCGTATGTGATATTTAATCATGAATTCATGATGTCCTTATGTTGTGCATCTTTGGGCAGACTCCTAAAACCCGAAAGAACTGATTATTTGGAGATTTATCACAGCTCAATTAGGGAAATACAACAAGTTTGACAGGTGCTAGAGTTTGGATTTCGTTTTGGAGGAGCTTGACAAGGGAGAAGCGCCTGTCTTAATCCGAGAGTTCAAGTTGGATCACATTGAAGACTATCAGATAATTTTATTGCACGAAAGTTTTTATGAAATTTGTAAATCGTAATTGCATGTGTTATTGCTTGTGCAGGGTAGAGGTTTTCGGTTTAGACTACGTTTTGGTTTGTTTTTTGTTGAGCATTTGTATATTATGTTTCATCACAGCATTTCAGAATCTACTTCTCTGGTTTCCTCATTAGCCTTCGCTTCTTTAAATCAATGTTCATGTACAAGTGTGTTACTGCAAATAGCATGAGAAGAGGGAAAAAAACGAAGAGCCAAGGGACCAAAGAAGAAATGCTGGGTTTGTGGGAGCGGAGGAGATGACGACGAAATTCTTGTTTTTCGATTGGTTGATCTTCCCGTCGATAACGACCTTGGTTTCAATCAACCCGAGTACTAACAAGTTAGTTAATACAACGCTAACCACTATTTTGAGTCTATTTTACAATGTCATCCCATGATCCGATCAACCCGAGTACTAACAAGTTAGTTAATACAACGCAAATCACTATTTTGAGTATGTTTTACAATGTCATCCCATGATCCGAGCCGATTAGTTTTTAGGTAATCAATGCAATTATCCATCACCCGCATTTCAAACGCCACAAAGAGGAAGGGATACATTCCAAGCTACAAGATGGATAACAATAGTTTCACCTAGCCGAACGAATAGGTCTTCCAGCATTGAGTGGTATGGAAAATGATGATTAAGGTTAAAAGTAAAATATCAACTAGTTGTGCAAACTGAAATCTAACATCTAAAACACCTGTAACACTGAGTGTTGCAGAACATTAAGGCCACACCAAAAAAAAAAAAAAAAACTACGCCGACCCTTGGCGACAAATCTCATTGGGCCACTCTCGATGATGGGCTATTTTGGGTTATATGAGTACATAAATTGGGCCGAAAGCTAGGGCTCCATTTGGATCACTCCCCTACAGACCCGCCCGGCACGTCCGGCACGAGCATCATCAATGGTAAAGTTATAAAGCTTGTCAAAACCCTAGCTTTCAGTAAGCGGTTTCCCGAGCTACCGAGCTTCAACACCAGCAGCAACAATGGTATCTCTCTCTCTCTCTCTCTCTCTCTCTCTCTCTCTCTTCATTTGTATTAGCACCTGTATTGATATGTGAATAACATTGGGTGTGGTACGAAACAGGGGATCGATCTCGTCGCAGGAGGTAAGAGCAAGAAGACGAAGCGCACTGCGCCCAAGTCCGATGATATCTATCTCAAGCTTCTCGTCAAGGTATATAATTTCGCGTCCTTGTAAATGTCTACGTATTTTGTATTTATCGGATTTTGTATCTCGATATGAATTGGTTGCAGCAAATGAAAGTTTGAATTTTGTTGATTCCGTTTTGTTAATATCCAATTTTCATTTCTGGGTTTTAATAGTTTTGGGGGTGTTGTTGTTTCTGCAATGACGATATGTGTGTATCCCAGCTCATTACGAGACCTTTTGTGGTCAAGGAATACAAATAATTCCACATCCATCTGAGCCTTTCGCAACTTCGGTTCGTTAAATCTGATTAACCAAAAACAAAAACAATGTATCTGTTATTGGTGTAAATTGCTACCTTTTGTTCTTGTGTTATGCTGTGATTGTTTGGATTCGTAAACCGTGCAATGTTGGTGTTGTTTTTCAATTGTTTTGTGATCAAAACATCGAAAAAGCAACTTTGTTTGGTTTCTTATCCCAAATGTTGTAGCTTCCTGTTTTAATGTTGTTCAACTGTGGAGAAAATGTTTCCCTGTGATGCTTTGAACCATGCTAATCCTGATTATTTCATGATTATAGTTGTCTAAATATTCTGAGGGAACAAGCTCCTATTTTTCAAATTTGTTCGTTTGAGTTTGTTAACCAGGTTTTGTTTAGCGGGGTTCATGAAATCGCCCTTATTTTTCTGTAAATTTTGGTCTTTTTAATTATGCATATAAACGTATGAATGTGTAGGCTGATTGGGTCCCTGGTTTGTTCTTGGTCAGCTATACCGTTTTCTTGTCAGGAGAACTGGAAGCAAGTTCAATGCAGTCATTCTCAAACGTTTGTTCATGAGCAAAGTCAACAAGGCACCACTTTCTCTCTCAAGGTTGATCAAGTATATGCAAGGAAAGGTTAGTTAGTCTGAATCGTCATTTCCTTTTTACTCTTAAGTTACCTGCTCTTGAGATATCTGTATTTTTAATGTTCGTTTTCGTTCTAAAAAGGCTTTGATCTTGTACAGGACAACAAGATTGCTGTGGTTGTGGGGACCGTGACCGATGATATTAGGGTCTATGAGGTTCCTCAATTGAAGGTTACAGCACTGAGGTTCACTGAGACTGCAAGGGCCAGGATTGAGAAGGCAGGAGGAGAGTGCTTGACATTCGATCAGCTTGCTTTGAGAGCACCATTGGGTCAGAATGTGGTATGAGTTCTTTATACCACCGAGTAGTTTCAATTTAAAATATGCTAAATTGATCCGTACCACACAATGGTATCACTGTTAAATTTAATCTCTTTTCTCAAGTTAATAAGTAAAACTTCTTTTGGCCGCCCATGCAGGTTCTCCTCAGAGGTCCAAAGAATTCCCGTGAAGCAGTGAAGCACTTCGGTCCAGCTCCTGGTGTACCACACAGCCACACCAAACCTTATGTGCGGTCCAAGGGAAGGAAGTTTGAGAAGGCTAGAGGAAAGAGGAACAGCAAGGGCTTTAGAGTTTAACCCGATTACAATTAAAAACGGTATTTCTGGAATCCAATGTTGCTTTGGCATTAGGTGTCTGGTATCGTGTTTACTTTATTTCACTGTTAACTCCAATTGTCTCTATTACCAAAAGAGAAGATTGTTTGATACATTTGAGGAATGCAATTATATTCCAATCCCGATTCCCCTTTCATAAATTCTCCTTTTGCCATGCTGGTACAGATTGATCTCGCTTATGGTTCTTGCTAAACAATAGATCGAATTTAACAGTAAAGTCGCAAGAAGAAAACCGGATCCCCTCCAGACCCAAAGGAACTGAGCCTAAGGATCAAATGATCTGGGTCATTGAAATTTGATTCAACGGGTACACAATTATTATAACTTTTAAAGGATTGTCGTTACTGATCATAAGAATCTCGTTGCTCGCCAAAACAGCAGTGAATTCTTCAAACCAGTTGCGGCCTCAACTCTTCAAGTGTTTCATTGAAGAACCCCGAACGTCACTGGAATCATCCATCACCCAAGCGTGAAAAGAATTGATACTCGAACCAAGATAGTGAAACCCGAAAAGAGCAACAGATTCGTTCCATGCTCCAAGCTGCGTCTCATAAGCACCTTCATATGGCCGGTAAAAACACGCCGGAAACAACGCAGTAAAAAGCACCTCATCCCTCGTATCGAACAAGGCGATCACTTTCGTAATGGTTTCCTGTTCAAGTCTGTCAAGGTAAGAATGAACTTCCTTTGCTTCTCTCCTGCCATCCAATAGCAATAGGGCCAAAACTGTGTAGTTTCTGTTTCTAAATAGTCGATCTTGATTTCTCTCCAAGAATTCGAACTCATTGCGTACACTTCTGCTCTACGAGAACGACAGACAACGCGATCACCATACGCTTCCTCACCACTCGATGCAACGCTAACAAGTACATAAGCCGATTCATAATTTTGAAGGCTCGATTCATCGGGAAGAATTCTGAAATCGTTGAACGACGGATTATAAAGAACAATGTGGCCAGTGTAAAGAATCAAACATAAAATCCCATCACATTGGCCTATAATGTCTATAGATCCATCAAGCTCACTAGGAAGCTCAATTATTTGACCCCCATGTTTAATCCCATAGAAACCGGAAAATGCAGGTCCTCAACAACAGAATCTAGGTTATCGAAATCAGCTTCACTATCGTTAGAAAGATCGAGGAACGAAAACACAACTTCCTCCTTGGTAGTTTCGGTTTTTTTGGCCACAGTGTGCTTGAAAAGGATGTGTGTGGCGGAGGAGAATTCGTTGTACGAATGGAGGTGTTTGGCTACAAACTGGGGTTGATTGACAAGGGCATACCACGACTTTCAAACACACTTGAAACGCGTTAGAGATTTCGGATGCAGCCTGGCTAAGATTTGCGCCACCATCTCTTCCGGCATCTTGCATGAGGCTGCCATTTTTACTGTGTTTTCAATTCGTAAATCCATTTGTGGTGTTGGTGGTAAGGAATTGAGGGAACGTAAACAGTTTTTGTGGTATGTGGTTTAAGATAGCAAACGATTGAGGATCACTTGATAGTAAACTCCCTAATCATCCCTCAATTAAGGAAAATTAAACACTAAACCTCAAGATTAATTACATTGTCTAAGAAGCGTAGGAAATTAACTAGATAGTATGAAGCATGAAAAAAATAAAATCTGAAGGGAATTGTATATTAATTGAGTTTTTACCGGAAATGGTCACTGAGATTGACTCAAGCAAACAAAATGGTCCTTGTGTTTCAAAAGCAATCGAGTGTTACAAATGTACCAACAAAAACAACTTAAACATCATCAAATTATATAACTCAGATGCCTTTCGAGAGGGATGTAGCCCTTGTAGTTGCAGTTTTCGATTTGTTGCTAGTGGTCAGGCCGGGGATATAAGGAACACCAGAGAGCCTAATCCACTTATCACCCCTGAAGAACCTACCGGGTGTGAAATCTGCAGCATGCTTTTCAGTAATCTGCTTGATCCCGCGCCATGTCACGCGCCTTGCCTTGTTAGCAGCAGGGCCTGTGTTGCCTGACTCTGCGTAGAAGCATGTCTTAAGCCCCCACTCACCCTCCCAAGGTAACCAACCTTCCGGTTGAATCACATCATCAATGTACGAGTCCATGATGATTGTCCTCGAATACTCCTTCCATGGACGGCCAAGATATGCCTTGTTCTCATCCTTGACAGGGAAGTAATCAGGATCGCCGGTGATTGTGCTGTTTTGAATGATGATTGCAGATGGCTGGCGCCGTTCTTTCCTGCCTTGAGCTGTCACAATGCAAGACTGGTTTGGCAATGGCTTGCGGATCAAGAAAGTGCAGTTTTGGAAGACTGCAGTTGCATCACCAAAAACAAAATCTATGGTGCCGGAGATGGTGCAGTCGCGGTAGAATTGGCGTTGTGCGTGTGTGTAAAGGGTGTCTTGGTACCCGTCCATTGAACACCTGTAGAAGATTGCCTCGTCAGCACTCACCCTCAATGCAACAGCCTGATGTTTCTCCGGACCAGCAGAGTTCTCAAACCCTATGTCCATTGCCATGAAATGATCTCCCTGAATAGCTGCATGCATCCAATAACCAAATTAATCATACGTCCAATTAAACATATTCACAGTCTGACAACATAAGCATTTGTACACCGACATAAGTGTGTTAAGAGAATGTTAAAGATTCACAATCGGTCAACGTAAGCTGTTAAGCGGATATTAAAGGCAATTTACGAGAAGCTTGCTTACCAACGGTGGCAGTATGGTAGGTGGGCATGCCATCTACAAAGTTCTTGTTTCCGGTGATCCTAGTCTTATTTGCACCATCTCCGATCATCATCACGCTCGTCATGCTCCTGGTAACCAGGATATGCTCATTATATACTCCTTCCTTGATGTAGATGATAAAGGTTTCATTGCCGTACTTGGGGACATGGTCTAGCGCCTCAGTGATGGTCTTGTAGCTTCCACTTCCATCCTTTGCCACAATGATGTCGGACTTATTAATTTTCGGAGCAGAACTGGTACTGGTTGTGAGAAGTTTTCTGCCTTCACCTCCATACCACTTGGGATCTTCGAATTCCCCGTGACCAATAACAGGGAAGACGTCGAATTGGAGGAGGCGGCGGAGTTTCTTGCCTTCACCTCCATACCACTTCGGATCTTCGAATTCCCCGTGACCAATAATAGGGAAGGCATCAAATTGGAGGAGGCGGCGGAGTTTCTTGCCTTCACCTCCGTACCACTTGGGATCTTCGAATTCCCCGTGACCAATAACAGGGAAGGCATCAAATTGGAGGAAGCGGCGAAGTTTCTTGCCAGTACCTCCATACCACCTGGGATGTTCGAATTCCCCGTGACCAATAACAGGGAAGGCATCAAATTGGAGGAGGCGACGGAGTTTCCTGACTCCACCTTCATACCACTTGGGGTCTTCAAATTCACTGTGACCAATAACAGGGAAGGCATCAAATTGGAGGAGGCGGCGGTGGCTAGAATCAGGGTTGTTCAAGTCAGTGAAGGCTGAAAATACTTGAGATACCATGGCAAGGGCATTGCTACTCAAATGCATAGAGGTATTCAACACACTCTTCATCTCCTCCGCTGCATCAGTAGAGCTAGTAGTATTCTCAAAAGCATCCAAGCAGCTTTCTTGATAAGTGATTGTAGCACTAAGCCAGACCTTCAAATCCACCAACATTTCATTAAACTTTATAAAATCATCGATGTACCCAAGTCGCACAACCGATTGCCTGAGCTCACTAACCGCCAAATCCATGAGCTCTTCGCACGCGTCGAGGGCATTGGAGGTTCGGGGATCCTTCTCGAGCTTTCGCAAGAAGTCGGATTTTTTGGCAGCATCGGTTACGTGCTTCATTGCAACCTTGAAGCCGTATTCAATGAGCTCTATTGGATCAGTGGTGGTGTTTCCGGAGGCGTAGCTGAGGCTGTCGAGACATTCTTGCTTGTAATCGGTTGGCTGGCAAATGGCTTTGATTGCCTTCATTGAGGCTGACTTGTCATGGGAGCTGCCCTTGCTGCCACTGACTGGACTATTGTAGAAACCCTTTTCCATGATGAAACCAGCTGCCACCGCCACCACCATTGCCATCAATAAAAACGCAGATACGCTGATGATGACGATTTGCTTCTTCGATCTCCTATCTACATCTTCTCCGTACGCCATTTTCGAACAATGTTCGAAGCGAAAATTACTATTTTCCTTCTCTATTTGTTGTTTTTGGAAAATACGTAAGAGAAATGTGAATTTATAATTGAAGAGAGAAGGGAGATTTGAGTGGTGGTTCTAATTAGGTTGTAACAGTATAGCAAAAGATGTGGCTTGGAGCGCAAGGAAGGTTCTATGCCAAGCTATATGTTGTTACTTTCACAAAAACAAGAACAAGTGTACTTGTTGGCAAGGCTAACTTAACTTTGACACGATTAAGCATGGCTGGCTTTGACCAGTTCCGGATTATAATTTTCAAATAGTTTAGCTAAAACTTAATTCCAAAGGTCTGCACGCGGTTGTATGTAAGTTTCTTTTATATTTTAAATAATAAAATAGTAAATTCACGTGACGGTGTTTCTAAACATTTCTTTTGCACATAATTTTCTACAAAAGTGGTTCCTTGCGTCAAGATTAAGTGAATAAATTATTATTAATTTATATTTTTTTAAGAACTCGAGAATCAATGAACATAAGAATTCTGAAAGTAAAAGTGCTCATCTTTAAAATGAAAATACTTGACGAATAACATGTAAAGAGTAATCCTTCAAGCAAGCAAATGACATGGATGCCATTTATGTCATGTAAATTAAAAGATAAGAAAAATATCAGGTAAAAGGTGACTGATACAAGACCTACTTTTGTCCAAAAAACAGAAAATTACACATTTTTTTCTTTATCTTCTATTTTTAGAAAAATAAATATTTCTCTAAAGAATACAAGTAGATTTTTTATTTTTATTTTTAGTATAACGGTATATTTTACACTAAGAGAATGGAGGAGTTCGGCTAAGCCAAACAATGATCAACTTAAATTGGTATCAAATTCGCCATCTATGAAATTCGAACCTAAGACCTCTGATTCACAAGTGAAGATGGATATCACCAAACAGTAATACTTAGTGGCAACACAAGTAGATTTTAAAAAAACTAATAATAGTTCCTGTCCTAATAATATTAATGATAATATTTTAATTCAATTACTCAACCCCGCTGTAAACTTGACGCCGGTCGACGGCAACCAAGCCATCCCATCAATAAACCTCCCAACGGTGAAGAAGCTCGCCGCAGCAGCATCCCTGAGTATATGGTAACCAGGCCATTTGACCCGACCCAACATAGCCGCACCCGGCCCATAATTCCTGTACTCACCATACCACAACGTGCCCAAAGCAAAATCCCCAGACCACTCAAGCCACCCTCTGGGCTGGACCAACCTACTCATAAAAGTGTTCATATAAACAGTTCTGGAATATTTCTTCCATGGCCTGCCCAAATAAGTCGGCTGGGTGGCCAGAACAAAACTGTCCTGGATTGCAAACCCGGTGCTCTGGTGTGGGCTTTTTCTACCCTGGGCAGTGACTGTGACCTTTTGTTGAGGGAGTGGGAACCTTGTGTAGATTTTGCAGTTTTGGAGGACTGCAGCTCCATTGCCAAAAATGAAGTCTATGGTGCCGTAGATGGTGCATTCACGGTAGAATTGGCGGAGGGAGTGAGCGTAGAGGGTGTCTTGGTAACCCTCCACGCTGCACTGGAAGAAGGCCGACTGGTCGGAGTCAACTCTTAGCGCTACGGCTTGCTGGTTTCGAGGGCCGGCTGTGTTGCGAATTGTCATGTTCCTTGCTATGAATCCCTTTCCGGATACGGCTGTATGAAACATAGTATGCATGAGAAAATACGTCATTTGAATCATCTCGGAATAGACAACAAATATGTAGCCGGAGGAAAGGAATTATCTCCGGATCCCTTCCATCAAATCCACCACATCAATCAATTTGGACTTTTAAAATTTGATCTAACGGCTAAGGTTATTATAATTTTTAAAAGAACAACCTATTTGTAACCATTGTATCAAATTTCAAATATCCGAATTGATTGATGGGGTGAATTTGATGAAAGAGATCCGGAGAGTATCCCTGTAGCCGGATTCATAGTCTGATAATATTAGAATTTTCTATATTATGTGTGAAAAATACGTGCACTCAACATGAAAAGCATAATGTAACTTACCGACTGTTGCAGTTCTAAACGTAGTCCATCCTTGCGTGAAACTCCGGTTACCCGTTACGATAGTTTGTCCAATCCCATCCCCAACAAACATAATATTGGTTTTGTTCTTCTTTATATCGATGTTTTCCCTATAAATTCCCCTCTTCACATATATAACGTACCTACTAGGGCTGTAGTTTGGAGCTTCATTGACAGCTTCTGTGATCGTACGGTACTGTCCACTCCCATCTGCTGCGACAACAGCATGATTCACACCCGATTTTGGATTCGATTTAACCAGCTCTTGATCTTCCTCACTCATCCAAGCCGGGAAATAATCCCCTGGCGAACTTTTATTCGTCGGGGGACCACGACCCCTAGGAGGCTTAGAGGGCAAGCTGTGTAGTTGAGTATACAAGGCAAGAACATTACCAATGAGCTGTGTCACTTGCTTCACACTTCCCCTAACGAAACTTTCGAGGCGTCGGTCAGTTCCTTCAAAACCCTCAAGGCAGGTATCTTGGTTACTTAGGGCAGCACTAAGCCAAGCTTTTAGGTTTCCTTCGTAGTGAACATTTGTGTCGCCGCCGCGAATTTTGATCATTTCCCCTAGAGACCAAGCCAACTCGGAGACGGAGTAGTCTAGGAGCTCCTTGCAGTCCTCAATTGCTACACTCTCTCTGTAAATTATGGGCAAAGAGTTGAACTTTGTGATGATTTTGATAGCATTTTTTGTTTCATTGAGCGTATGCGTAAGAGCAGCAGTTAGGATTGCAACCGAATCTTGAGTCTGAGGCCCCGTTTTTTGGAGCTCGGCTTGCACGTTTGTGATGCACGAGTTTCGGTCATCGACATCAGTGCAAGTTTGCGTAACCATGGATCGAATGGAAGGGGAGGAAGTAACCCCATAAGAAGAACATGAAAGTGAAAGAAGAAGCAGCAGAAAATTGGCTAAGGCCATGTTTGGCAATGTTGGAGGGAAGGAAGTGATTGGGAAAAAGAAGGATATTTATTTATAGAGCAAAGTTTGGCTGTTTAAAAACAAGTAGGAGCTCCTGTTCTCATTCAGTAACAACAAGTGTCTAAAAAATTTGTAAAATTAAAATTTGAACTAACAATGTGAACACTTGTTAAGTTGCTGTTGAGTGAGAGTAAGAGCTCCTGCTTATATTTAAGCAGCCAAGCTTTGTTCTTATTTATACGCCTGAGAATGAAAGGGAATGTAGGAATGGCTTGTTTATAGAGGAAGGTTTTTGTTCTTGGAGATATACATAATTTGTTGAATGTTTCAAAGAATATACATATATATATATATATATATGTATGTATGTATGCTGTCTTTTTGGCAGAGAGTAGGAAGACAATCATTTCTCTTTGAAATTAAACACTGAATATATATATATATGTATATATGCTGTCATTTTGGCGCAGAGTGGGAAGTTGGGTTATTAACTCAACAATCATTTCTCTTTGAAATCAAACACTGCATATATATATATATATGTATGTATATATGCTGTCATTTTGGCAGAGAGTAGGAAGTTGGGTTATTAACTCAACAATCATTTCTCTTTGAAATCAAACACTGCATATATATATATATATATATATATATGTATGTATATATGCTGTCATTTTGGCAGAGAGTAGGAAGTTGGGTTATTAACTCAACAATCATTTCTCTTTGAAATTAAACACTGCATTTTTTTTATTTGGCGTAAGGACATGATTTTTTTTCTTTTTGGTTCAAGAAAGACATGATTCATTGTGAACAAATGTCATCTTTCCTATTTGGCGAAAAGACACGATTCATTGTGAACAAATTCAAAGGATTTTTTTCGGATCCTTTTACGAAGATTATGAGGATTTGTGAATCGTGTCTATTTATCGTATATCGTGCGATCATTTTTTATCAGGTACTGTTTGTATTTAATTTTAAATAAAAAAAACTTTAAATAATTTCTGACTGCATAATATACGATGAACGGACATGATTCACGGATCCTTATGATTCGAATTCGTGAATAAATATCATCTTTGGATATGTGGTTCTCTGCATCAGGTACACCCATTGAAATGCCTTTTGGATAATGCATTGTATATGTTCAAACAAACATGACCTCTTTGAACTAATATGACTTCAAAAATTATGTATGCTCGATTAACTTGAACAGGTGCAATTCTCTCTATATATTGATAACATGGCAGAAGAGAAAATTCATTCAAAAATTTGTTGTCTACACAATTTCCTTGCTCTCTCTTCTCTTTCCATCACATTCATACAATTTCTGGTTATCTTAAAAGAATTATTAACTTGAGTTTAACTCACACTGAGTTTTCAGCAATACTTGAAGGATATTCATATGCAAGTTGGATAACAAGTGTTAATGATAATCAGTCTACATGAGGGTGGATTTTTACAATTGCCGGAGGAGCAATTTCTTGGGCTTTGAAAAAGAATATGAATTTATAGCATTAGCAGTAGTAGGTAAAAAGGAGGAATGGATTAGAAATTTATTATTGGAAATAGAGTTGTGGCCACAACCAATGTCATCCATTTCTTTATACTGTGATAGTGAGGCTACTTTGTCTAAAGGATACAATAATGTATACAATGAAAAGTCTAGACATATTAGCTTGAGGCATGAATATGTCAAACAATTAAACACTGATGGAGTTATTAATATTATTAAATCAAGTAATAACTTGACGGATCGATTAACGAAAGCACTTTTAAGAGCTTTTGTAGCTAGTACATCTAGTGGTATGGGGATAAAACTCTTTACTGAAAATTAGCCACCAATAATGGTAACCCGACTTTGTCTAGAACATCACTAGTTTAAAAGTTTAATGAGTAATAACAAGTACTTGATAAGTGGTTGTAAAAGAACTGAAAATTAATATTTAGCTCATTCCAGGATGATCAGTGCAAGACTACTACGTTTAGGAGGATGATTTTTATTTCTTAATGAGGTTAGTTGTAGTTGTCTGTGGTAGTTGGGACATGGGAAGGAACCTCATCTATATGAACATAAGAAGTAGTGTCGCTTCTACCAAGAGTTGGGTTTTCTCTTGTAAATGTTCATGAAAGCATGATGAAACACAAAGCCATAATAGTGCTGAATTAATTCAGAAATTTCTTTAAAGAAATAAGACATAGTTATGTGTGTAGTGATTTCGGTTTTAACATTAGAATAGATGGTTTAAACTTAGGTTACCATCTCATTCGTTATAGCTTTGAATTACTTACACTAGTTAAAGGTTTAATTCAAAAGATGCTAAAAAAATTTGCTACCAGGAGGCCCATTGGAAGTCAAGCTCACTTATGTTTACTTCGAAACCTTTTCTTGATTCACCGACATATGAAATAAGAAAAGAAAAAAAGAAGTCGACTAAGCAAACTCATGATTATATGCGTATGCTTATGATAATTATAGAGAAAAAAATTGTTGTTGTATCATTTTCTATATATTCTTAAAATAGGGAATGATTGTTGAATATAATATATACACACACACAGACCTTTTATGCAAAGGGATTCCCTTTTTTTTTTTTCCAAAAAATAGAGATTAGGTGTGGGGCTCACTCCATATCAAACTTCAACAATCCAAACCATTTATTTTGTAAGTCTCAATTCATAGATTATCCTTGCAAAAATTTAATTCAATCCGAAACCATTTGTCTATTTAATTATCAAGATAAAATTTCATTGTTTATTATGTAACAAAGTATTCATAATTTTTTAACCTAATTAGATGTCTTAAATATTTCTGATTTGGCTAATATTTTGCAAGAATGATCTATAAGGTGTAACTTAAAAAATAGATGATTCGGATTGTTAAAGTTTGATGTGTTGTGAACTCTATAACTAATTCCTTTTTTTTTTTTTTTTTTTTAATTTGATGATTCCTTTCTTTAAAGGCTTATATATATATATATATATTTATGCGTCATTTTGGCAGAGAATAGGCAAATGGGTAATTAGACCAACAATAATCTCTCTTTGAAATTAAACACTGCACCTTTTTCCTATTTGGGGAAAAGACATGATTCATTTTGAACAAATATCATCTTTGGATATTTAGTTCTCTGCGTTAGGTATGCCCATTGAAATGTCTTTTGAATAATGCATTGTATATGTTCAAACAAACATGATTTCTTTGAACTAATATGACTTTAAAAGTGATGTATTTTCGATTAACTTGAACGGGTGCAATTCTCTTTATATATTAATAACATGGCATAAGAGAAAATTCATTCAGAAATTTGTTGTCTACATAATTTCCTTGCTCTCTTCTCTCTCCACCACCTTCATACAATTTCTTTTTAGTTAATTATAAGGAATATAATTTGGTTTTGCTAATCGAATATTTTATACTTTTTTGTATCTTGGAAGTGATTTGCCAATAACTCTTTAGCAAACTCATTCGAGTGAGGACAAATAACACTTCAAAAAAAAAAAAAACAATTTAGATCTTATCTTAAAATCATCCTTCAAATTGAAAGGAGTAATGCTACAACTGTTTTAAAAATCCCTACCTAAGCGCTAAGTGGCTGGTCACCGTTCTGATTAATGTATAGGCGTTTGAAAATTAAGAAATGGTGCCTAGATTTGTTGAGACGCTCGCCCAAACCCACCTATGCACCTGCCTAGGTTGCAACTCACTTAGACAGAAAATAAATAACTTTCATTTTGCATTTTATTTTTTTCAATAAATTGTAAGCGACTTGTTGTAAACTTAAATGAACACACATTATATGATTGTTCTCTATGTTTTCACTATGTTCCAATACTTCATAATATATATGTTATTCTATTTTGTAGTTTATAATGAAATTGTTTATATTTCAAGTATCAATTGACACTTATTTACAAGAAATATAATATATTTACATAAATCCGCCTAGTTTGCCTAGGCACCCGTTTAGCTGTTTAGACGCTAGGCTCCAGCTTGCTGCCTGACTAGCAAACTAATGTCTTTTAGAACCTTACATCTACCACATATTTGTATCATCTGTCTAATAAAGGTATAGTTCACCAATACATGTGTTTCTCATTTCTATAAATAGATAATACAAATACATAGTACGAGTAACATTTTTGTTTCGAAACTGTTGCATCCTACGTGCATGGAATGGCATGTTTTGGGAAATAATACGCAACCGTGTGCAAGATTGGGTACATACATTCTCATATCAAGAATACCAGAATGGGCTTCTGATTATGGGCCAAGTTGTTGTCAACAACCCAAATCAAATTTGTAATTCAAGCAATCTCCAGGGTCACAATCGGAAATGAGAAAAACCATGATCTGCTTTCTTATAAAAGGGCTAAAACCCTACCCTCTTATATCCAGTTCGCCTGTGGCCGTCGCATACTCTCCTCCTCCGCTTCCAACGAAACCCTGCCGCGTTTTTCTTTCAACCATTTCTTCTCCGATCTCCATTGATTTTCTGATATGGGTTTATCTTTGTTTCTATTTATTTATTATTTTAATTATATTTTGTGCAGTGATGATCTATGATAATCCCAGCTCTATGAGACCTTTTGTGGTCAGGGAGTAGAATGTTATCCATACAAATCTGAGCCCAGAAAACAATTTTAATTTTATTTATTTATTTGATTATATATATATATATATATATATTTTTTTTTTTCTTTTTTAAGTTTTCATTTGTTTTGATAAACTTATGGTGTTTTTGTTTATGGTTATTTGTTATATTTTTGCAATGATGATCACTGTGTATCCCAGCTCATTACGAGACCTTTTGTGGTCCGGGAATAAATTAGATTCACATATTATCTGAGCCCAGAATTTAATAATCTCGATTTTATTTTATTTTATTTTTTCTCGAAAGGAAAAATAATTTGATGTTTATATGTTGTTTTGTTTTCAGTTCGTGTTCTTTTAGGAGGTAATTCTCTGTTTTGTTGTTAATTTCTTTTTGGATGATTAAACCTCGTTTATTTTTCACTCGACCAACAGAAATTTGACGTCTGCACATTGAGGTTGGAGGAGATTAGGCTAATTCAAAACAAATAATATGGAGCTTAAACAGATACTTTCTTTGAAAAAATGAAATTAATGAAATGAAGAAGGAGGAGATCATATTCTGGTACTAGAAAAATGGAAATATCAAAGCCAAATATGTGACATTTTATAATGGTGACAACCAAATTGGTCAAATTAGGGGATCCAGTTTAAAATTTTAGATGAGAATTAGATCAGTTGATATTTTGTTCCGTTTTTGTTTTTTCTTTAGGAGTTTGATCCTTTATAATTAGGCTTGACAATTTTTTTTTACGATCTGTTGATCCGACACGAAAGGATATAAAAATAACAAGTTTCGTCAACCTGTTATCAAATCACTAACTAAGAAATTGTTAAAATAACGGATTTGACACAATACGACCTATTAAAATAATAAATCTGACACGAAAAATACAAGCACCACAAATACCAGTTGTTTGCTAGGTCTGCTTATTATATTGTATAGTTTGGAACTTCGGACTTAAAAATTGCTTTCAGAAATGAATAAAATCTTAAATAGAGCAACTTTAAGGTGCACAGCCTTCACTTCTCTTAGGCTCATCGTTGCATCCTTTTCATCACACCCATCTTCCCGCTCACAGAGACCTCCGCCGCGATCTCCTCCGTCTACAATCCTTGATCTCGAAGCTCTTACCGCCTTCGGAAAATGTTCATGTTCTGATGAGGCTTGCTTCCTACTTTGATCATCGTGTTTGCTCAAGTAAATCGTACCTTGTGATTTGAAATTACCAACTTCAAGTGAAACCTCAAAAGGCAAAGTGTCTAACCCATATGCACAATTGGATAACTTTATAATAAGATAGGCCCCACAGGCATTTTCGGTGATAGCGTTTGAGTATTTGTTGTGCCATGCGTTTCGATGAAAATCTCACTTTTTCTTATGAACTTGTAACTGTGTGACTTTGTCTCATTTGCTTTTATTCTTTGTATCAAGTTAACCTGTTTTGTTAAGTTAGTCAGGAAAATCGTTAGCTTGGCTATTGTGGAACTAAAGCTAAAACAAAGAAAATGTCGATTTTTTTGCTCTAGTTCCAAATAAGCCAAGTAAATTCACAATTTTCATGACCAACTTGACGAAAATGAATAACTTTGGACACAGAATGAAAGCGCAAGAAGTAAAGTCACACACTTACAAAATTGGGGTTATATACTTTAATTAAAGATGATATATGATTAGGGTCACAAAATTGTTTTTAATGAAAGTATATTAGGGTTAATCAAAGAATGAAAACCTTAATTCAAGACGAGGTCTCCAGTATAGAGGATGGCAGCCTCATGCAATGGGAAGGTCCCTTGCACTTAAAATGTAGCATTTTTTACCTGTTGATTTCTCTATGAAGAACATTTGTGCTGTTCATCATTCAGAAAGTAATTACTTGACTTCAATCAAAATCAAACAATTATTATACATATGTAATAGAAAACCCCTAAGCCAAGAGCGACATATACCTACACATAAGATACTGTCACAATGACATTCTCAATTTAATGAGTTTCGCTCTTAATGACGCTAGTGCATCCACATGCGGTAGGACTATGAATTTTAATGACTAAACAAATTAAATTCATATTTGATCCCCCACCTGTCAACGCAAAAGCAACCTTTTGGTGTATCTTCCATGCATCATCTCCTAATTAACTTGTTGCCAAAAGCTGCAAATGCAACAATAGTCATGTTATTCACCATATATAAGTGTTACACTGTCACATAACAGTTTAAGCATCTAATATTGCTAGATTGTATTGACAAAAGAACATTACGTTTATACGTGATAATTTTTTAGTGATAATGCCTACATTTTAAACCAAGCAAAATTCCAAAAAACTATTGATTGATCCATTATTTTACCTTACGTTTATCGTCTTCAATTAAAATTTACCTTATCACCATCATCTATTAGGCTTGGACTGCATAACTTCATAAAATAATCTTTACTAGATGAATAAGCTATGGGACGCACTAATCTGGATAGAATCTCTTTGTGGTCTGATGGCAAAACTTTCTGCTACACACTATCCATATCCGCCATGGAACGAAACGACGATTAAACTACGAGAAACGACATGCATCTCCCGGAGATGTGAACGATAAACTGTGCCCGAAGCAGTCTTCAGGCAAGCGATCCAAGTTCATCTCTCAAATAGGTGTAACATTACCTGGAGGGGAAGCCATATAATTTATACTGCTACATTTCGTACCGAAGAGGGTCATCAGGTGATATCGTTAACATGACAACATTTTCTTTTTAAAAGTCCGGTCGACATCATGACAACATGCAGGCAACATATATTTAGTTCTAGTCAACATCATGGCAACATTATAAACCCGTGCTCAAGTTGCGGAGAGCAACAAGTTTACCTTCACGCAGCGTTTCAATTCAATAATGCAATGTTTATGTGAACAAAAATTTACATCTGGCATTGTATGTCAACTGAATTTGAGTGTGACGGGGGAAAACATATCTCCATTGATCTTGTAATCTGAAATATCATGTGCTTTTACGTCCCTTATAATGCTAGAGCGACAGAAACAAAACCATTTGCAAAAATACTAGCGGAAGAAATGAGAGTTTAAAAAGGAAGGTTCTTATTAGAAGTTCTTGAGTCCATCGTTGGAAGAACCCTAGTTTGGAAATCCGACGCTTTTGATTTAGAACTGTTCTTGAGAAATTACTAGCTGAAAACTAATTACGTATGCGTTAAATTAATTACTGAACTTAGTGCGCAAAACTAAGTACGAATGCATGAAACTAAGTACGTATGTGTGATTTCTGGCTAGCTGTTCTTCACCTTTGCAGAACAAAGCTGATGGTGACAAACTTCATATCGTTGCCGCATCCCAGTCTCCTTGTGGACAAAGGTTAGATTTTCAAGTCAAAGTAGTTTCCATATGTACTCTGTTAAGAAACAGTCTCAAGGCATAAGTCTAATTTCCTTGTCTGTGCCAGATCCGATGATTATATGGCTTCTCTTGCCAAAGTTCACTGTCTTTGTCGAAATTGGACGAGTTGATGAAGCATGTCGCTCCAAGCTTTGTCAATCTTCCACACAGCGATAATCTAAATATGGCTGTAGTACTACACATATTCTGAACACATAGCTTCTCCTAGAAGAAATTAGAAACTTTGGGCGAGTTGAGTAACACAAAAGAGTGTAGAAACTACTCCTTTTACAGCTGAATTAGGTAGGAAGAAGTGGTTGTAGCTTTGAAAAAGATGAAGCAAGCAGTGGGCCCAAATGATATACCGATCGAAGCATGGAAAGTCTTGGGAGAGATGGGTATAGCATGGCTCATAGACCTTTTCAATAGGATTTTGAAAACGAAGAAGATGCCAAATGAGTGGTGAACTAGCACTTTGGTGCCTATCTACAAGAATAAGGGCGACGTACAAAATTGCATGAACTATAGGGGTATTAAACTAATGAGTCATACAATGAAGTTCTGGGAGAGAGTCATTGAGCATAGACTGAGGCAAGAGACACGGGTCTCAGACAACCAATTCGGGTTCATGCCAGGGCGCTCAACCATGGAGGCAATTTATCTCTAACGAAGATTGATGGAAATATATAGAGATATGAAAAAGGATTTACACATGGTCTTTATAGATTTGGAAAAAGCGTATGATAGGGTCCCAAGAAACATTCTTTGGAGGATTTTAGAGAAGAAATGAGTAGCATAAATCCAAGCTACGAAGCATATGTATGATGGAGCAAAGACTGCCGTAAGAACTCATGAAGGACAAACCGAAAGCTTCCTCATAAATGTAGGGTTACATCTCATCTTTAAGTCCTTACCTTTTTGCATTGGTAATGAATGAGTTAACGGGACATATTCAAGATGATATTTCTTGGTGTATGCTTTTCGCAGACGATATAGTGTTGATAGATGAAACTCAGGAAAGGGTAAATGCAAAGCTTAACCTTTGGAAAGAAGTGTTGGAATCTAAAGGTTGTCGCCTGAGTCGATCAAAGACAGAATATATGGAGTGCAAGTTCAGTGCAAATGGAGACCCAAATGAGTTAAGGATGAGGATCGGAGACCAGGAAGTACCAAAGAACGATCGCTTTCGCTACCTAGGATCTATCTCGCAAAAGAACGGAGATTTAGATGGAGACTTCAACCATAGAATACAAGCTAGATTGATGAAGTGGAAGAGTGCATCCAGTGTGTTGTATGACCGTCGTATGCCACTAAAGCTCAAGCGAAAATTTTATAGGACGGCAATAAGGACGGCGATGATGTATGGCACGAAATGTTGGGCGGTGAAGCATCAACACGTACATAAAATGGGTGTAGCAGAGATGAGGATGCTTCGTTAGATGTGTGGGCACATTAGAAAGGATAAGATTAGGAATGAGGATATCCGAGGTAAAGTAGGAGTAGCCGAAATTGAAGGAAAGATGAGAGAAAATCGGTTATGGTGGTTTGGACATGTGCAACGAATGCCTACTGATGCTCATGTTAGAAGATGTGACTACGAGACAAAGGTCCATGGCCGAAGGAGTAGAGGGGGACTTTGGAAGAGACTCTAAGAAAAGATTTAGAGTACTTGGATCTAACGGAGTACATGATACAGAACCGAGCGCAATGACGTTCTAGGATTCATATAGCCGACCCCACTTAATGAAAAAAGGTTTTGTTGTTGTTGTTGTTGGTGGTGTGATACATTTTCTTTCCACGACAATTCAATCATATATGCAGGTGAGTGATGTCTTGTTTTTTTTTCAACTATTATGTGTGATTGAGTGTGTTGTTAAGTTGGAGTTGACCAATTTTTACTTTGAGTGTGGTGGGCTAATTTTACTAAATGGATGAACTTCATGAGAGTTGGAATGAGAGTTCATTTTGGTTCTTTGTGTTCGGAGTTCACGGATCGAGAGATCTGAATTGCTCAAGAGAGGGAGAAAGAGATTCGGGCCGTTCAAGTTTTTTAAGTTTTGTGAATTGGGTCAGTGAGATTGACTAATATGAGCCACGAACTCCAGACACAGAGATTCAAAGTAAATCTCAATCCATAAGAATTACCCAAATTTACAATGGTCGGAACGCACCCTAAACTAAGGGCGGCTCCGTCTTTGCCACCATAAGAAAGACAAGGAAGAATTTTTCATAATTGAAATTTACGGAATACAAGGGGAGTCTTGAATTTACTCATGAGCTTGGCCCCAACTCATAAAATCTTCAGTCGTCTTGAAAAAACTTAAGAGCTACCACCTCTATCAAAACAGAGTCTTTCATTATTATGTAAGTTGGGTTCAAATTGTCCAATACTTATAATTTTTTGATACAACCGATATTGGAGGAGAATAATTCGAACTTAAAACCTTGAGTCCAATAAAAAAATACATTCTTAACCAACTTAACTAAAAATCTCGTGCCTAATTTTCATGGTTTTTTTTTAACGAAATGATAACTTCATCAGAAATCAAAGGCATTACAAAAGACCTCCAGCAATGGAAGGGGCTAGCTCAAACAATCTTTTAGCAAGAGGTGGGCAATGAGAACCGGTGCCTCAAGCCATCTACAAAACTGTCATAGTGAAGAGCAAAACGCACTAGACAGTGGCCGATACCATTGCTTGTCAACTTAAGTTGGTAGAGAAACCTCCAGTGCTTATGGACAACAAGAATTTGGAATCCAAAAAAGCACTTAAAGTGCTTCCTCCAGTGCTTCTTCTAAACTCAAAATCAATTTCACCAAAAGAGCTTTCAATTATTTTAAAAGCACTTCCAAACGAGCTTAAAAACATCAAAATGAGCTTCTACTTTTATCCATACAAATCACACGAGCTTGTGCCTAAATATTAGGTCGTACATTGTTTTCATCTTGCTTATTAGGTTATAACTGTATGCGTCATCGACCAAAAAAATATACATAAAATTAAGAAGTGTCAATTATGCAACCATCACGCAATTATTAAACCAAAAATTGCAATTTTATCTTTGTGACTTGTCGCATAAACTGCACAAGCTAGCCGTGCACGACAGATTGTTGGTCACAAAATATTAACAAATAGTAATCTTCTTCCTAAGAGTATTATTCCTTTATTGGGTGGAATAATAGAATCTCCAACAACAATCTGCATGCCTTATTTTAATAATTACCTTGATTATACGTAATTAAGAATTTTAGATAACCCACTATATATCCCTTTTCGGCATATTCGCAGAGGTAAGCACATAAATTTGAATATTCTTTTTTTTCTTCTAGTGATCCTCCATTGGGATATGCCGTATGCAACCGCCACTCTGACTGCATGAACCCTAATGACATCATATGTACATTTACCAAAATACCCTCAAGTTATTTTCATGAAAATTGGCTTCTATATAGAGAGTTCTTTTAACTAACGTTTAGATTTTGAGGTCAAATCTCATGGGGGAAGACATCTACTAGAGCCGCATGGGCCAAAGCAGACGGTAATGAGTTGGTTTGGTTGAGGTTTTGAGCTTTTCCAAGTTGGTCTAAACCGAATCTTTCCGATCAATCCAATTTGAACCGTATCGACTTCTAAAAATAATTGTTGATGAAAAAAGGTAAGTTTATAAACTAAATTTAGGTTCAACTTTGATTGCATGTGGTTCAGTGTCCCAGTGGATAGAGTGTTGAATTTTTACGCATCCCAATTCGAAACTCCTCAATTTTCTAAATTATTGAAATAGTTTCGAACTCTCTCCCTTTCCTCTCTCTCCCCCCACCCCACCCCCGCCCCCACCCCCCCCCCCTCTTTTTTCCCTTCTCTCTCTCCTAATAATGGTAAATTAGAAAGGAAAAGAAAACTATGTAGGAGAGTATAATCTGAATTTTGGTTTCTTAAGTGGAGTTACAATGAAACAAACAAAATTAGAAGGTTATTTTGGACAATGTGGCAAGCAGCCATTGCCATAATCATGAAATACAAATATCAGATCCATATATATAATATATCAACTAAAAAACTCCAATTAGTTTGGCTAATTTTTTATTTCTCATTAGAGAAAATATTAATTCCAACTCTTTTTGTGACAACCGAGGTCACACAAACTTGCATACTACCTACTTTAGCTACTACCACGTGGCATAATAGACGAATCCAAATCGAAGAATTAACACGTGTCATTCTACTAACCAAACATCATGAAAAACCCCAGGGTTCACGTTCACCCAAACCCAAAGCCCGCGTTCCTGAATTTCCCGGGAGTTCTGTAAACTATAAAAACCCCTGCATTTGACCATCAAGCTCTTGTTTCTTAATTTATTTCATCTGGGTTTTTCTTAAGAATTCCAAAAGTATCAATCTTTGGTCTGGGTTTTTCTCAAAAATTCCGAAAGCAAGAACTGTCGGATGTCGTCGCAGAAGCTCCTTGCCAACGGTTCTGTTAAGTCCGATGCAGTGAATATGAACGTGGGGCCTTTCTCGTTCACGCCGATTTTCGACGAGCTGCCGGTGGCCACCATTGTGTCAGTTTCGCGGCCCGATACCGGAGATATTAGCCCCATGCTTCTGTCTTACAACATTGAGTTTCAGTACAAACAGGCAAGCTCTCTCTCTATATAATTTTTTTTAAGGATGTTTTTTCGTCATTCAAAATTTCAAGTTTTTAGGAAAAATAAATAAATATTAGTTTTTGAGATTGAAATTGTTCATCCACCAAGTATTTTTTTTGTGTGTGTCATATATAGTTTGGGAGGTGAATTACAAGCTCCCGTTTTCTCTAGCCATGCACTTTTTCCGTTTTTCTAGTTTTTGGATTGAATAAATTAAATGAGAATCAAGGGAAAGAGTATAGAGGAGAAAACGGGATTGTGAAAATTACTACCCGTAGTTTTTGGATACATTTGTTCAAGATTTGGGATAATCTTTTTGCGCACTGCTGCCTGATCTGACAATTTGCAAGCTCTTTAGTTGTCATATGGTTTGAAAATGTTGTCATGGCATGCTAAAATATTTGTTTTAAATTCCTCCTTGAACAGTTCAAGTGGCGGTTGCTGAAGAAAGCGTCACAAGTTCTGTACTTGCATTATGCTTTGAAGAAGCGTGCGATAATTGAGGAGTTTCATGAGAAGCAAGAGCAGGTTTGCTAATCCATATGATATGTCAATGCAGTTCTTTATTATTTGTAAAATTTATGTGTAGAGGATTTTTCTCATATACATTTGGGCTGATCTTCGTATAATTTTCATGGGAACCTTGCACGAAAGGTTAAAGAATGGCTACATAGCATAGGAATAGTTGACCAGACAGCGGTAGTGCAAGACGATGATGAACCAGATGATGGGGCTGTTCCTTTACATCACGACGAAAGTGTTAAAAACAGGTGATTTCTGACTTCGTATCCACTTTTCTCTTCTGTTCTTGGGCACAAGTTAGGCCTTAATAGTAATTATGATTTTCTAAACTTGGTTGTTCTTCAGATATGTTCCATCCCGTGCTGTTTTGCCTATCCTCCGTCCAGCATTAGGACACCAGCAGTCCATTTCAGACAGAGCAAAGGTGGCAATGCAGGGCTATTTGAACCATTTTTTGGGAAACATGGATATAGTAAATTCTCGAGAGGTACGCTTGTTTTCTATTAGTGCTGCAATTTGGTGGTATTCATTTTCACGTTTGTTATAAGAAGTGGTTTCAAATTGTAGGTCTGCAAATTCTTGGAGGTCTCGAAGCTCTCCTTTTTACAGGAGCATGGACCGAAGTTGAAAGAAGGTTATGTAATGGTGAAACATCTACCAAAATGTACCGGGGCTAATTCTGATGTGAAATCTTGCGCGTACTTTTGTCTTGATTGTTGCAGCAACAACTGGCAAAAGGTTTCGTCAATAAACTTCTTTCTTGCTTGTTTTTTTACAGCAAAATCAAATTATATTTTCCTACAATTTGTCTATTATTTCTTTCCTTCTAGAGAACCACATTTGTTTATCGTGTTGGTTTTATCCAACTGCAGGTGTGGGCAGTTTTAAAACCCGGGTTCCTGGCCTTACTGGAGGATCCTTTTGACACCAAACTTTTAGACATTATTGTTTTCAATGTATTGCCAGCTTCCAATGGAGATGGACGGTCTCAAATATATTTGGCTAATCAAATAAAGGAGCGTAATCCTCTACGTTATACATTTAGGGTGAGCTCTTGTTTTATTATACTTACAACAGCTGCTGTATAATTCTATTCAATTCTCACGACCGACCACATTGGTTTGTTAATCTCAAAAGGTTGCTTGTGGAAATCAAAGCTTAAGGTTAAGAGCCACTAGCAATGCTAAAGTTAAAGAATGGGTTACCGCAATCAATGCTGCTGTTTCAAGGCCTCATGAGGGTTGGTGTCATCCTCATCGGTTTGGTTCCTTTGCTCCTCCAAGGGGTTTGACTGATGACGGAAGTCAAGCCCAATGGTTTGTAGATGGCGAGGCAGCATTTGAAGCTATTGCTTCATCTATCGAAGGTGCAAAATCAGAGGTTTGTTTCTCGCCATGTTTACGCTAGTTAAAGTCTATTTCTAGTGATTATAGGACTCAACCATTAAATGTTTGCTTCCAGATATTCATTACTGGCTGGTGGCTTTGCCCTGAACTGTATCTAAGACGTCCTTTTCATAGCAATTCGTCGTCCCGGCTTGATGCATTACTAGAAGAAAAGGCTAAGCAAGGTGTTCAGGTGCAAATAATTTTCTCTCGTTGTTTGTATTTATTATTTGACATCTATTTCTGGATTCTTAACTTCCGGATGATAATCTCCATTGTTAATTTTGTATGCAGATTTACATTCTTCTTTACAAGGAGGTTTCTATTGCTTTAAAGATCAACAGTTCATACAGCAAGAAATTGCTTTCGAACATTCATGAGAATGTGAGAGTATTGCGCCATCCTAACCGTTTTCCCACAGGAATTTATTTATGGTATGCACATAAATCCTGGTTATTTGTATCTGATATGAAGATTGAATCGAAAGAATTCTCCAAGTTTATTTTGTTAACTTGATTTTGGTTTGCTTTCATGATGATTCTCCATAAATTATTTATGAAAACAACACGTACAGGTCACATCATGAAAAAATTGTCATTGTTGATTACCAGATTTGCTACATTGGAGGATTAGATTTGTGCTTTGGCCGCTATGACACGGTTGAACATAAAGTGGGCGACTGCCCTCCTCATATATGGCCTGGAAAGGACTATTATAACCCGAGGTATCTCTGTCGAAAAATCATCAGTATAGTTTCCTAGACCAAAGGAGATCAAATTTTCATTGTTGCTTCATACGACTCACTCATATTCCTCCAGGAAATTTTGTGCTAAAAATATCTAGTATTTTGATATGAGCATTTAGAAAGAAATAGCCGTTTAACTTTGCATTTTTGTGGTGGGGTAGAGAATCCGAACCAAATTCTTGGGAAGACGCAATTAAAGATGAATTAGAGCGTGAAAAGTATCCGCGTATGCCTTGGCATGATGTCCACTGTGCTCTTTGGGGACCGCCCTGTCGTGACATTGCAAGGCACTTTGTTCAGCGCTGGAACCATGCTAAGGTTGATTTTGTGGTACTGCTGGTAATGCTGATGCATTTCTTTTTCAATATAGTCAATTTGCTAACTTGATGAACCATTTTCTAGAGAAACAAAGCTCCAAATGAACAGACAATTCCGCTACTTATGCCTCGCCACCACATGGTCCTTCCGCATTACATGGGAAGAACTAGAGAGATAGACATTGCGAAGAAAAACAAAGAAGACAACCAGAATGGGACCAGCAGAGAGAACTTTTCCTCACCATCACCGCTGCAAGATATTCCATTGCTTTTGCCTCAAGAAGCGGATGGTTTAGATGCTCCTGTTTTAGACCAAAAGTTAAGCGCCATGCACTTGAATCAGAATCTTCTCAACCAGCCAACTGATGGTTTAGTCTCAGATCCACAGACGAAAGGTTTCATGGATGACCTTCATTCTAGGGATCTTAAAAGTGAAGCAAATTTAAACACGGTTACACACTCTGGCTCTACAACTCCAAATGAATGGTCAGAAAGTTCAGACAATGGCGATCATGCTGTTGCTGCTGATGGTTATGGACAAATAGGTCCTCGTACTGCATGCGAAATTCAGGTTAGCAATGCCTCTTGGATACCCAAAATTTAAGTTTTAGATTTCATGATTTGCTAGGTATTAATATAGTTCTTCTATCTAATAAATACGTAATGTGTAGGTTGTAAGAAGTGTGAGCCAGTGGTCTGCTGGGTCTAGTCAAACGGAAGAAAGCATACATAGTGCTTATTGTTCTCTCATTGAGAAGGCAGAACATTTTGTGTATATTGAGGTTCCCCACCATCCTCACTTGTCTGTTCAAAGTACTGATTTTTGGTTCTTACATATACTGATCATTTTGCTATTTTCCATTCTGTTTGCTTCCAGAATCAATTTTTTATATCAGGTCTTTCAGGGGATGACATTATACAGAATCGTGTCGTAGAATCGTTGTACAGTCGTATTGTGCTAGCACACAAAGAACAAAAGTGTTTTAGAGTTATTGTTGTCATACCACTATTACCCGGCTTTCAGGTACCAATTATTGGTTCATTTTCTTAATATGATAGCACATGACATTTTTCTGTGAATTTCAGCGACATTGTTTTACTTTGCTTATAATCACGGGTGCATATATTAGGGTGGTGTGGACGATGGTGGTGCAGCTACTGTTAGAGCTATAATGCATTGGCAGTACCGGACAATTAGCTGGGAAAAACACTCAATACTGCATAAGCTTAAAGTTAAGCTCGGTACTAAGACACATGATTACATTTCTTTCTACGGTCTGAGGACATATGGCAGACTTTTCGAAGGTGGCCCTGTGGCCACAAGTCAGGTTATTTTATGCATTACATATCATATATGCTTAAATGCTTTTGTTCTCAATTAATTGCTGAATTCCGCTCGTGTATGTATTTACCAGGTTTATGTGCACAGCAAAGTGATGATCATAGATGATCGCATTTCCTTCCTTGGATCATCTAATATTAATGACAGAAGTCTGCTTGGATCAAGAGACTCTGAGGTAAGTTTGTGTCATTTTTAAGTAAGAAGTGTTTCAGCATGTCTATTTCATTGTGTTAGATCTTTTATTTGTGAATTCAGCTTAACTCAACTCAATTTCATAAGTAATCTAATGCTGTAGACCAGAAACGCTATCGTGTGCTGCTGATGATTGAGCATAGAAGTTGATTTTTTACTTGACATCTAGAATAATTCTGAAGAAAGCATAGTGTTTCTTAAGTTGTGTAATACTCCCGCTTCCCTAAGAATTTTTTTTGCTAAAATGAGCTGTTCATACTTCCTCGATAGCTCTAGTACGCAGGAATAGTTTTCTTTAGCAGTCAGGTTCACTGTTTTCAGTAGCTGTACTTGGATAATTGTTTATTTTTTCTGAAACTTGAACCAAAAGTGATCCTTCCAACAACATTACCTATGAACAATGTTTCATTTGTTGCAGATTGGTGTGGTAATTGAGGATAAAGAGTTTTTCGAATCATCTATGAATGGACAGCCTTGGAAGGCCGGAAAATTTGCGCATAGTCTTAGGTGCTCCTTGTGGTCCGAGCACCTGGGTCTTCTTGTAGGGGAGGTTGGTAACATTGACGAAACATTCACTAAACTCTCTTTAGTTATTCGTGCATGTCTTCTTCAGATAAATATCGACATTGTTTCTTGATCCGGTATAATTTCTTCAGATAAATCAAATCAATGATCCTGTATCAGACTCAACATACAAAGATCTGTGGTTAGGAACTGCAAAGGTAATAACTTGCAAGTCTCTAACAAAAGATTATGGCTATTGTCTGGTTGATCGAGTATTTTGCGATTTCTATAACTACGTCGTGTTTCTCATTTACAGGGAAACTCAACTGTTTACCAAGATGTCTTTTCTTGCATCCCAAGTGATTCTATCCACTCAAGGTACAGTACTACCAAGGTTTATCGTCCCGCAAACAAAATTTATGTACCAACGTTTTCTGTTTTCGTTTCTTCGATGTATGAACTCTTAAATCTCTATTTTTTTCCCCCCATCAAACTACAGAGCTGCTCTCAGGCAATGCAGGGCTCAATGGAAAGAGAAACATGGCCACACGACGATCGATTTGGGAATAGCCCCCGAGAAGCTACTACAGTCTTGTGAAGGTGGAGAGGTGAAAGAAATAGATCCAATGGAAAGACTGAAGCATGTAAGGGGACATGTTGTTTCCTTCCCTTTAGAGTTTATGCAGCAAGAAGATTTGAGACCAGTCTTCAATGAAAGTCAATTTTACACTTCCCCTCAAGTATTTCGTTGAGCATATGATTCCATTAGGGCTTGGAGGCACCAAAAATCTGAAATATATGTGTAAATAGTGGGAACAATTTGTTTACTTACAATTTGTGCATAATTACACACAACAATTTAGAGAGATGGTATAAAAAAACACCAAATGTATATATGTACATTTCTTTTCTTTATTAACGAGGGATCTAGATTGTGAGAAAAACTTGTGTAGGACAGTTGAACCACGTGTATTGTTGATTGCTTTCACAAAGCAAAGTTCTTGTATTTTGGTGGTCGCATCCAACCCCACTAATCCCACCTCTTTGAGAGAAGAACACGTGTATAGTCTGATTGCGAGGTGCCCTATTGTGGTAACCCTTATGAAGTTTCTTTTCTAGATTGTTAATGAGAAAGTGCAAACTAAAATTTTTAATAAAAACAATTCTAGCCATTCCAAAATCACTTTCAAACTGACCTCAAGTGTCTTGTAACATCTTTAATTACGAGCAAGCGCCCAGCAGGGTAAGTAAACGAATAAAATATTATAAGTCAAGAATTTTCAATTAGAAAATCGTCATCGGGATAAAAACTACTGGTTGAAAACTTATTTAGAAAGAGTGATGCTAAACTCACCTTAATGTTTTATCCCACCCACAGTATAATCTCACCATCACAAAAAGTTAAAAAAGTTGAAATACTATTTTCTCATCCACTATTATTCCTAAAACAACCTCTAATATATATCGAAATTCTTTTGTAAATTGAAAAATAAATATTAGAGTGCTAATATGTCCAACCGGGCCTTCGCTCACCGTGAAGGACTCTCTTCCCAATTTTTATTCCGGTTAGAATTCCAAAATCCGATCACTCTCCAAATCTTCAGCCGATTGCAACCCTCTTTTCTTCCCTCTCTCCAAACCTCCAACGCAACCCCCTTCCCTCCCGCTTCCAAATCCCACGACCAAGCCCCATGCCGCATTCCCAAACTTTTATACTCATACACCATTTCCAAATTCACGACAACCCAATCCCACCCCTCCAAGCCCAATTTCTTCCTCTAGCCTCCCATTTCAATTTTAAAATTTTAAAAAAAAATTATGTCATTATTAAATTGCTTTGAACAACTACTATATATGATGAAACTAAGGGAATAGAAAGAGAAAAAAAAAACACTAGAAAAATAGAAGATGAAGAAGATGTTTACTTGGAGAAAGACTAATGTTATTTATATCATGTTTTTATACCACATTTTCATATCATCTTAGGTGGCATCTGATGTGGACAACTACGTCATTTGAAAAATTTGTAAAACCCAAGAAAAGGAAGGAGAAAGACTTCTCGTATACCACAATCATCATTTAATTAACTAGTTTTTGTTAATTATTAGTTTATTAAATAATGAACTAAATTTAAAAATCCGATTAATTCAAATGATGTAATTGTCCACATCAAATGCTACCTAAGGTGATATGAAAATATGGTACAAAACATGATATGAATAACATTACTCTCGGAGAAATTGAGATAGTTGCAGACAGACGGTGAACAAAGAAAGAGAAATTTTCTTTTTCTTTTTCTTTTTTATTGCTTTGGTCCTTAGATATCATTTTACAATAAGATAAAATTAGTATTAAAACTATTAAAAAGCGGTGAGGAGAAAAGTAAGTGGGGTAGATTTATCAGTACTCTTTAGAGACCAAGCATCAGAACATATACTAATAAATTACGTAACATACTACAAACTCTAAATTCAAAGTCCCTCAAGTGCTTTTTAATGTTGTGGAACTCTTCTCGGAGAGGTCTGAGTCTACCTTCTTGTATAGCTCCTCAAAGAAGGTGACTGGGTGAGACCATCAGGAGCAATTGTTGTGTTTTGGTTTGCATTCTTCTGTTGCATCCTTCTCCTCGCCATGCAACCTCGAATCCACGGCGTCACGTCCTCGCTGAACTTGATCATGATAAAGAAGATGATCCGGTACACAACAGTCATGCTCAAGATCACACTCAGGTCTATCCATTTGGATCTGGCGGTGTTAATCTGGAACACATTTTCCAGGATATACTCGCCGGGTATCTTGGGAAGATGATTCGGTGTGTCGTTGTCGAACAATAAGCCGCTCAGGTCGTTCTGATATTGTCCCTGAAGGTGAAACATGTTCGCAGACATCAGTTGTTTGAAGCACAATTCACTGCAAGTGATTGTCTACCGGTAAATGTTGTGTTTTTTACCTGTAAAGCCCAGAAGTGGAAGCTGATGTATGACATAGGGTAACGCCAGACGGGTTTTGGGATGTCATTCGGGAGCCTGAAGTACCCGGAGACTAGCATGAAGATACCCTGACATGTGAAGAAAACCATACAATTCATCAAACATAATCCAAGAATACGAAAAATGATATGTTCCGATTTTGAAAGACTTCGATTGTTACAGACCTGAATTCCAGCCCCTATGATAATGCCCATGAGGAAGTTGGGGATAACGCTGGCTATCGCCATCATCAAGCTCTCAACGACGGTGACACTTGCATAAAGGCACAATACAAAGAAGAGATAATGCTCGAAGCCCGGGTGGAGACGGACCATGAAATAGCAAACAGTACCGGAAAGAAAGGTAATAAGTATCAGGAATGGCATTGCAGAGAATGTGTTGCTGATGACAAATGCAGTAACGCCGTAGTGGCCATTCAGCCTCTCCCTTTGGAAAACCTGGGTTGGTGGTGAATTATTAGACTACTAAAAATATAAGTAAATATTTAGGGTCTTTTCGCATGGGGCGAACCGGCGAAGGGTCTGAGGAACAAACCTTCATATCCTCTACGAAAGAAGGAAACCCTCCAATTGACATGAACGTGACAAAACCAAAGACGAAAGATGCACACGAACCCCTTGCCTGTCACATAATGAAAGAGGAGAACTATCAGTGTATGAATGAACTTGCGACTTCAGATAGATGGTTCCGCTTTGCAAGTAATGCATACCAGAATCGAACTGTAACCCGTTCCCACATTCAAATAGATGGTTCCGATACAAACTGTGACGACAATGTAAATGACGAGCCTGAGCCAGTAGTATCCAAAGTCCCTTGACATGTTGACAAATGAACGCTTGGTCAATTGGAAGGCCTGCATAAAGAAACTAGCCTGACTTCCTCCAGAATCTAGCACAGTTCCTTTCTGCATCATATGGCAAAAGAAACATCAGTCAGAGTAATCGGATTAATGATCAACTAGTTACAAATCATGGTGTATATAAACACTTACAACTTTTGATATCTCCTCAACTTTTTCTCTAGCTGCGTACGAGTATTGAGAAGAACGATAGGAATTAATCAGAACTCTTATAGCTTCAGCAGTTGTCATCTTCTCCAACGGATCATCACTTTCCTCAAACTGATAACAGCAAAACAAAAAAGTTTTGAATTTTAGCAGAAGACCGAAACTATGGCTACAAAGTGTGAACAAAGAGAACAGCAAAAACAAGCTAACAATAACATTTAAAGTAACATAACATAGAGATAGAGAAGAGGAAGTACTATACATACCCTGAGTTTCATGGACCCTTTGAGTGTGGCCTTTACTTTGTCGAAGTCCGAGTTTATGCATCTAAGAAAATGATCAGATGGGTTCCTCAAAGCAGGGCAGGGAAAGCCGGCTTGTGCAAAGAACTGAAAAAACCGACCAATGTGTCCGTGAGAGCTCTGTTATATTTACGTAAAATCAACAAATAGATGTTCATAATGCAAAGACTGAGGTTTCTTGCCTCGTATGCATCCGCCGCCTGACCAAAATAGACGGATTTGCCACTAGAAAGCAAGCACAGTTGATCAAACAGTTCAAAGACTTCACTACTAGGCTGGTGAATTGAGGCTATAACAGTCCTTCCGTCTCGAGCCAGGGCACGTAATGTCTGAGTCACGAAAAACGCCGAAGCACTGCCACAAAAAACCAAATGATCATTCAGACTTAACCCTATAACACAATAATGAAAGCACTTCAAACCAGTTAAATGAAGGCATACAAACCTATCAAGTCCACTTGTTGGCTCATCAAGGAAGAGAAGTCTAGGCCTCGTCAAGATTTCAAGAGCAATGCTGACCCTTCTCTTCTCTCCCCCACTGATCCCACGCAAATGCCAATTTCCGATAACAGTGTCGGCGCAATCCTGCAGACCCATCTCTATGATTGTACTCTCAATCAGTGCCCTCTTTTCCGACCAAGCCATCTTATCCGGCAGCCTCAGTCTTGCCGAGTACGAAATTGTTTCCCGTACCGTCAAAGTTCCAATCAAGTTGTCATCTTGGGTTACATAGGCCTGTTTAAATTTGCACCACATATGCAAAAAACAACATCATCAGTATATGTTACAACTAGAGATCTGCCTAGCGCTTGATCAAACATAAAAGTACCAGGGCCTATTTGGGACTGCTTCAGGAAGAACAAAAAACACTTCCGGGCAGACAAACATTTTTTACTACGTTTGACAAAAAGAAAAAACTTTAAAGCGTTTTTGAGTCATAGAAGCACTTTAGGGTTTAGTGAAGCTCTTTCTGGCTAGGTGTTTTTTCCAGAAAGAACTTAGATTTCTAACAAAATTTCACGGTGTTCTTAACAAAAGAACTTTTAGCAAAAACACTTATGAGCAGAAGTGCTTTCTCAATAAACACTCCCAAATAAACCTAAAGCAAACAGCTCAAAATCAAGTAAACAAAAAAGGTAATGATCAAATTCCTCAATAAACACTCCCAGATGTCCGTTGTTTATCATCACCAACAACACATATCGACATGTTATGTTATGAATACATTTCCGACAACATCTATATAAAATTAAAGAGAGACAGAGGTTGCTACTCACAGCAGTGCCAAAAGCGAGCTTCCGTTTGCGGCCATTGAGAAGTATAGTCCCAGAAAGGAAAGCATTGGCGGCCAACCGACTCGAGAGAGCATCAAGCAAAGTCGATTTTCCAGAACCAGAAGGCCCCATGAGAGCCGTAAAAGTTCCAGGCTCAGCATAACCAGTCAAACCATCCAACACCTTCTGCGTCTCGCCGTTGTTCAGAGTCACCATCACGGTCAGATCCTTCCACGTCAGCCTGGCAGACACATCCCCAACAATCTCCAAACCTGGCTTCTCCCTCCACAGAGTCTCACTCAGAGGGCTCAGCCCTCCGGCCACAACCCCGGAGGGCTTGCCCGCTTCTATCTCCATCACTGCCGCCGCCACCGGTGAGCTCCTTGTCTTCTCTTCGTATGTCACGTTAACTAATTTCTCGGTAGCTCGCCCGGCTAGCTCGAACTTTAACCGATCATTCCTTCAAAAAACAGCTCAATCACGATATTGCACACAACCCAGAAGAGATTTATAGTCGTGTTTACGGAAGAAGACGAGGAATCAAAGATGTGAATGAAGAAATGAGAAACGTGTGAATTTGACTGACAGGTGGTTGCAAAGCATGAAAATTTGAATTCCCATGCAAAACGAGCCCGTTCAAAGTATGAATCTTTTGGTATCACAAACTGCTTAAAAGAAAGGAGTTAAATTTATTTTGGTGTGGCTTTCCATTTCTGATTGAGAGAATTTGAATCTGTGAATTCTGAGAGGTGGTTGTGGGGAGAAGAAGAAGATCCATACAGCTATATTTTTTGTTCTGCAATTAATGGGTTCTGGTGGCATTTTGGTAGGAGCATTTAATACAAGGAACTAATACCAATTACCAGAACCGACCCCAATATTAACATTTGGCACTCCACAACATTGTCACACTGTTTTTTAAAACGCTACTACACTTATTATCTAATTTTATCATTCTGTCAACACATGTGAGTCTCATATCTATTAGAGAAATGATATAAATAGATCATATGTGTAGCATTTTTGCTGTTGTTTATTTTTTGTATATATTGAATTTAGCTCACCACATGAAAAATTATGCAAATTGCTATTGTCGTTCGATGAGTGTGATTTAATGAAGTTTAACAACCATTTTTTTTTTGTGTATATTGAATTTAGTCCTACTTAGTGTAAGAACTAGCATAATTAGTCTTATTAAAAATTATGTTGTCGTTTTAACAGCGTGACAATCATATGATAGTCTTATTAAAAATTAGAGTAAATTATAGCAATAGTCTCTCAATTTTAATCAAATTGGAGTAATGATCATTCAATTAAAAATTCATTACCATTGGTCCCTCAACTTATCAAAATATATAGCTATGGTCATTTTCGTTAACTTCGTTAGAATTTTGTCAAAATAAGTTATGTTGGAATGACTACTGTTACAATTGAGGTCGCTCAACTCATCAAAACGTGTAGATATGGTCTTTTTTGTCAATGTCAGAATTTTGTTTAAATGAATTATGTTGAAAGGACCATTGCTGCAATTGAGTTAATGTTGAGGGATCATTACTCCAATTGGGTTAAAGTTGAGAGACCAATGGTAATGAATTTTTAGTTGAGGAATTATAGCTATACGTTTTGATGAGTTGATGGACCCCTATAGGTGGCGTTGCCTTGGTATTGATTAACGACGATTCACAAACTGCATTAATTGGGCATGCCTTCCTTCTTCAACTGTCAACCACCTCAACAGGAAGATAAAGAGAAAGAGCTCCTCTCAATCGTCATGGGCTTTGCCGCATAAGACACATCTGATACCATCTTGTCCTACTTTGGCACTCTTCAATGAGGATTGACATCCGCTCTGAATTTCTGTGTCGGAGTTTGTGGATTGAAAGATCCGGACCATTTAATTTCAATTATGTACTCTTTATAATTCTATATTACTGGCACACTTCACAAAAACTCAAAAAATTTAAATGCTCAAATCTCTTTTTTTTTTTCTTAAACCGTCTGAACCTTCTGATTCATAGGCTCGAGTGAACCCAAATGCCTTCGATGGGACTCCATCCCATTACTAAATAAAACAGTTTGGTGGTGGGGGGTCCAATTTTCTGGTGGGCAGAGGTTGTGGGACTCGGGGGATTAATTCCCTTTCTTTCCGATTGGCACCTCACTATTTTGTATTGCTTGTTTCAATTGACTTACTAGTCTTCTTTTTTTGACTTCTAACTAAACGACACTTCTGTTCATTTGGAATGCAGCAACTTTGTATCTTTCCGCCGTACCAATTCATCAACTACCATTTTAGTTTCATAAAGTCATAGAGATCTAAAACTATGAAGTTTCATAAAGTATAGAGATTTGAAACTACGTATTTAGGGTTTTTTTTTATTCGATCCACTACGCCTTCGGTTCAAATTCTCTCTCTTTTCAGTGTAGAATATTATTTGTATTAAAAACTAAAAAAAAATTATTTTTATAATATGTCTTATATTGTTCCGTTTAGTACTACGGTTTGATAGTATTTCTCTTCACTTGGAAGTAGGAGATCTTAGGTTCGAATCTCGTGAATGGCGAATTCGATACCAAATTAGACTGCCCATTGAGTGGTTTAGCCAAACTCCCTCCCCCCTTAGTGTAAAAATATCGATGTACTTAAAAAAATAAAAAAATAAAAACTCACATTGTTCAGTGTGACCGGTACACAAGGTGGTACACCACGTGTTACTATACAAATGTTGGGATATGTGTATTAAAAAGTTAATAACTTAAAAAATAAAATTTTCCACCATTTCTATAAAAACACATGATGTACCATCCGTGTTCCTATAAAAAAAAAAAAAAAAAATCTCCTTTGGTTGAGGTTGCATTCATTTTGACACGTGAGAAGGGCCAACATTTCTAGTGGATTGGGCTTGGGAATGCTAAGGTTTAGCTCAAGCATGTCGAAAATAACACTCCCAAATTTCTTCTCCCAGCTCCATAGTGACGGCACCGGTGGTTCTCCACTGCCGCTGCCGCCATCATGGGAGGGGGATGGGAGTTTGTGAGGGGGTGGATGATTTTTTATTTTTATTTTTGGGGAAGAAAAAGAATGAGTTTAAGTCCAAATAAGTTCGGACCGATCTGGGCAAATGATGTTATTTCAGCCCAAATGAAAACTTAATTTCCCTCCAACAAAGCCTATTGAAACCGACGATTCGATTTCATAAAAGCCCAAAACAAAAACAAACAAAAAGGACGAGATAGGCGGTAGGCCTACTGCTGTTCTGTACGGAGCAGCTACTACCACCAGCATTCGAATGGTGTTTGAGGAAAGATACAAATTTGCTACATTCCTTCAACTCCTCATACAGAAAGCTCCCGCCCTTGAAAACCAAAGAACTTTGAGGTCTGTAACTTTCGTATCGGTTTCTTTTCTTAAAGTTTGAATCTTTTTTACTACATTTTTTTTGAATTTGGGTATCTGGGTATGGTTGATTTGTTAATATGTATCATTCTGTAGCTTGATTTTATGCTGATTTGAATTGGGTGATTGGATTGAAGGAGAAAGATGCGATCTTTTATCTGCATTTGGTTTGAATTTCAATTTTTGAGATGGGTTTTCTGCTAAATTGTTCTTGCCCTCATGAAAATTTTGTTCTGAATATATGCTCTCTGACTTCTGGGGACAATTTGAAGTGTAAATGTATGCTTTCTGCTCTTTGTTTGGTGTGATGTGTAAAATATTAAAAATTAGTATTCACCCCATCTTTTCTTATTTTTCATATTTTTGCTTCTCTTGATAGGTTATTAAAACTGTAAAAAGGTCCAAGTTATAGTTCAAAATTTCAAATGGTTGCATTTTGGTACTTTTTGGTAATTAATTGCATGCAGTCCTCATATTTCAGGTGAGATTTGGATGCTTTTTTCAAGCTAGCGAGTTTAGTTCATGGCATCATCTGAAATAAAATCTGGGGCATTGGTTACACTGCAAGACCTGCACCCATCTTCCTCGTACTTCAAGCAAGGAGCTTCACTACGAGTAACCGGAAAGTAAGACTTCTGCCCTTCCAATTTTTAGTGGTCCTTTTCAATTGCATCGTGTAAATATTGATTGTGTTCCTCTTTTATTTGCTTTACAATCATCGGTAACGAATTCAATCCCTGAGTTTTCAAATTGGAACGTTCGAAACTTATAGATTCAATTCTTTGATCTCATAACTCTATTTATAGTGGCTTAATGGGGTACACGTAGTTTATGGCTAACGCTGGTTCTGTTGGTCTTGCGGACGAGGAAAACTTGCCTATCGCGGGATCTATATTCCCATATTACTATAGCTCTTAATGTACTATGTCATGTGATGAAAGCTAGATGAACACGAGGATCTACACCCCGCTACAGGGAGTTCTTGTCCTTGGGGACAGCTTTTGCATCACAGTGGTGACAAGATAGATGGAGATGGGGGGAAGAAAAGAAAGATGAACTGGAGGTGGAGTATATCATATACGGACTATGTAGATATGATAGTTTCAGCATTTTCGGTGCTGTGACAACATTGCTCGGAACAATTGTGGTTTGATTTAGATTTAGTTAGATGATCGTCAAGATGGTAGTGTCGGAAAGGATGCAGAACTGTCCGAGAAGATATTCTTGAGGCAAATGTGGCATCTCCGGTTGGTGCATTGAGGAGGATGCATATAGTACATTGGTAGCATGATGTGCATGAACTAGACAATGTGAACCGAGTGCATTTCTTATATTTATTCTTCAATATCATTAAGAAGCTTATGAATATTCATAGGTTACAAGATTATTCTGTAGAGACAGCCATTGCCACTATTGTCGATGGAAGTGAGAGATTAAAAATCAACACTCAGCACCTTCGGGAGCTTAGTTTTCGAGTTGGATCCGTCTACCAGTTCATCGGCGAGCTGCTTATTCAACCGGACAATGAGGTAAATGGTAAATTACATTTACATTCACTAGATGATTTTTGGTGCTGGTCTTTTTTCCGAGTCACAACACATGAATGTGAAGGCAATAAAGCCCAAGTATTCTTGTTCTTCTTTTTCTCAGGCAGTGTTGCAGGCACGTGTGGGTAGGAATGTCGACGGCATGGATCTCAATCTTTATCATCAGTCTCTTCAATTGTTAAGACAATTTCAGGCCAATCATTTGAAGAACCCAGCAGTTTAGGTCTTCTGCAGTAGTTTGAGTGAGTGTGATACTCATATAGAGGAATCAAGAAGCCTGAGTTTGATACCTATAACATGCAATAGTGTGAGTTCGATAACTATGAGAGTCATACTTTAGAACCTAGTAGTTTATAAAGTATCACGCTCAAATTTTCCGGCCGACTATAGGAGTGTGATTCTTATGTGAACTCAATATATTAGTATCATACTCACTTTTTCGAGCCTACTGAGGAAGGCCTTAATACAACTGTACTTTTGGAAAGGCTCATGTGGACATTTTAAAGCTTATAATATTTTGAAATTTCTCATGTTCCCCTCTAGATTATGAATTAGAAAACTCTTTAGAAATCTTACATTTTGGTGTCACTCTCCATACATGTCTTTGTTGAGACGAACTTTACCTATACTTGGTATGCCACTGTGCTAATATCTCAAGCCAATAATACACTATCATTTAGTAAAAATTAGAATACATGGTAGTGTATAATTGGTCTAAAATAGCTCCACAATAGCATCCCTAGTTATAAGTAAGTTTCACTTGCCTTAACGAGCATTCTTTTCGGAAGAAAATGATTGTCACACACGTCTTTTCTTCTTTTATACCTTCTGTATTTTTTGTATTCTCTTTCAAGTATTCAATTCAGGGTCTGCAATCGAGATAAGAGGTATGTGGAAATCGTTCCTCGCATTTTCAATTGCAAATTTAATTGAAAGACCAAGTTACCCCCAACATCCAACCAATCAAACGATGCAAATAGACATTCTAATGAACTTTGTGCGACAATCATTACCACCCCACTTCATAATTTAAACAAACATAATTGGGCCCATGTATTTTTAAAGAACATTGTTTGTAAGGAGATCAAATCTTCTGCAAGTAAAATAAACTTTGTTTTGCCGTCGTCTCAAATATTAGTCAATATTTATTAAATTTATAACAATAGAATTTAAAAAAAAAAAGTTAAATTTATAAATTAGAGTCACAGAAATACCGCACCAATTTCGAATGTAAAAGATTTGATCCCGTTCGAGGTCCGTGCATGACCAAAGTCCTTCACCCACCTTTAACGTATTCTCTGGAGGCTTGGCATTGCACGTCGCTATCAAGGGCGCCGCCCCACACATGATTGTTGGCTCTTATGTGGCAGCTGTTGGTTTGTTGGAATTCAGGCGGTGCTGGACCCCTGGTAATCGTTGCTCCTTTGCACCGAGTCACCGACCTCATCATGTTCATTAACAGTGAGGAGCAAAGGATACTGTTGCGTTCAAAGGATCACGTGTGTAACAGCAGCAAAGCGATAATCTTGTGTCTCATGCTCTGGGACTTGGTATTGAATTTAGGATTCGAATTTTAGGAGCTCCTAATATTAATGGTACAAGTTTTTTTTAGATAGAAACAAAGTACGGAGCTCATAAAAAAAAATAACAAAAAAAAAGTTTCCTAATTGATGCATTTCGTTAAGCACTTAGTGAGTTTTTTGTATCAACTTAATTATGTTACGCATATGTCAACACTTAATATATTTCTAAAGCAATTTATCGAGTGATATCGAGAGAAGACTTAACCTATCAAGATATCATTAGCATACATTACATTAAGTACGTAGTGAGCATATAAGGGACTTGTATCAAATATTCGGAGAATTCTCGAATGACTTTCACATGTATATTTCTTGAATTCAGGATGATCTTGGGACCAGCTTGATCCAATGTACATCCACCACTGCTTAGTACTTGAATGTTTTATTTATTAAAATTCTATTTAATAGTACAATAGTTAAGATCTAACAATTAAAATCTCGCAGTGCAAAGGACACAGAAGCATCCAAAAGTTTTGGCTCATGCTCATCCTATTCATGCTGTACAATAAATGGACTCATTCGAATGAAAATACCTTCTTCTATTTTCCTCCTCCAATAATTCAATTAGCAAATAAATATAATAAAATTTTGGTAAGAATATTCTGGAATTCATATTTAATATATAATTTTTTTTCTTTTTGAATAAAAAATATTATCTACAGGAGGGGATGTGCTTAGTCTCACAATATGCTAGCAATAATGTGGTTCAAAATTTATCTTTGGTGAAAATCAAACCTAAGATCTCTCACTTACTAGTTAAGAGGAATATCACTAGTACTAAGTGACAAATTTAATATATAAAGATATGCTACAAAACCTAAACTTTGATAACTAGAAAATCATCATTTGAAATGAAGATAATTACTTAATTAACCATATTATTACTTGGTCAATGTGAAACTAAGCCAACCCTCTCCCCTTAGTGTAAATAATATCGATTGTTCAAAAAGGAAACTAAGATAATTACTAGAAAATTACCATTGGAACTTGGAAACAAAGATAATTACTAGAAAATTACCGTTTAAAACGAAGTGTTAAGTGCTAGATGATTAGTTGGTTTACAAATATTTTGCTCTTATTAATTAAAAACATCTTAGTTCAAATGTCATAGACGATAATTGTGAGTATTAAAACATGCATTGGGTTGCATATAACTAACACAAGTATGAGGAATTATGACATACAGTCATGAGAAGTGAGAACACCCCTATTAGGTTGGTCTGGGATTGTGGTGTTTTAAAAAAAATAAAAAACAACTTATTAAAAAAATTTGAAACATTAAATGTGTTCGGTAAAATTCAAAAAAAAAAAGTGTTTCTTTTTAAAACTGATGTCAATGAAAGTAGAAAAACATAGAAAAACAGAAACAGGATCTGCCATGCTTATATGAAAAAAAAAAGCTTTTTTCTTTCAAAGCATATTAATCAATGCTCATTTAATGAACTTTTAAAATGACAAGTATATTGTCACACCCCGACCCGGAATATCCATTAGGACTCCGAATCGAGCTGTGCTAGTCGACACATGGAAGGTGACGAAGCCATAAAGTGTGATAATGTGGAAAAATATAAAAAAATTTGAACCTAAGAGTGTCTAAATACCAGAACGCGCTTGAGCGGGAATAAACCCATTGCACACGCGATACAGAGCATAAGTAAAGTACAATAAGGTAAGGTAATGATTATACCATCATAAGAAGACACATGAACTGAAAAGTGCCAAGAATCCTCGTCGATACGGACACACTGCTATTAGAACCTGGAGGGGTGCAAAAATAGAAAATGTGAGTGAGTGAAACAAAACTTTTCAAACCAAATTCAATTACCAAAGGTAGTAGGCCTTCGCCATAACACCTGTATATTTCCCAGAAAATAGAATACATATCTATCTCAATCCCATACACGGCATAATGAAGTCCACATGAATATCATGCCATAGATCTCAATAAACATATATATCTCATCAACATGTTAGCCGAAGTCACATTACGTGAACTGTATGGCTGAATCAATATCTCATCAATCAATGCTAGCACATAAGTTAGAAGTCACCTATAGTGATCTGTATGACTTAATATATAGCTCATCAAACGTCCCTGCACACAAGTCGGAACCACATCTAGTGGTCTGTATGACAGGATTGGGTGTAAATAAGTACGTTCAAGTGCTACGATCACATGAAGACTGTGTGAATAATCACGGGTCACCTACGAGTCGAAACCACATATAGTGGTCTGTACGACAGGCCTGTGCACCTACCTTGAGTCCAAGGTGAGCGTATGGTGCAGGAGGTGAATATCACGTGAATGACAATGCCCTGGCCACGGGTAGAAGCACTAACACATGGGTGCAGGTTTATGAGCTCTCAATGCATCTCAATATAACATGTACAACTCATGGGCAACCAGTATGACAGTGTCTGAGTTACCTAACACATAAATGTAGTCATGCTATAAATCTATCGATTCAACTAATACCATAAACTCACCTGAACTTACCTGGGTGTCCTGCTTTCACTTTTGCACTTTAAAGCATTCACAATAATTATGTGCAGGTAATATACATATGGCTATACCATGATGAAATCAAATACTCAACCCTGTCATAGCATTTTCAATTATATACATATATATAATATGATATATAATATGGCATAAAATGCATAAGTTGTAACGCCCTACTCCCGAACTATTTATTTTCGGGGATAATCATCGGTGACAAGTCCAACTAGACACTAGTTTAATTAACTAACATTACTTACGTTTCCTTACTTTAATTTCTTGATTCTTCACATATTGATTTATAACCAACATTTAACCATCAACACATAAGGTTAAACTCACATTTTACACCAATGTCCCTCACATTGTTCAATTCCCCAAACAATGCTTTTGTCTCAATTATTTAATCTCACTTCTTGTATGGCTGCATCTAACATCTTGTTAGACTGCCTACGTACCCTAAACAGGGATCAAACCATTCGTAGTTCACGTTAGTCCTATAAAGCATTCACAGAAATTATATGAAATATTCAATTTATAAACGTTTTTGGAGATGTCAATCACACACACACACACACACACGATAGAAGGGAAAATACCCACTCACCTTAGGTCCGCGCTACGACTTCCTCGCACGAATATCGAGACATCACGAGCTATAGTTGTCTACGACCAATTATCAAATCACGTCTTAGAGTTCTTACTGGTAGAATACATAATTTACATAAAACATATCCTCCAGGACTTTCTAAAATAATTTGAGACTCATTGACCAAAAGTCATCCGTCGATCGAAGATCGACGATAGGGTCCACAACCCTGCAAAACTCAATCCGGAAGATCCGCATTTCAGATTTCCAATCCGTAGCTTCTCATGATACAAAATATGCTTCTAGAACAACATGCTTAAGTTTCATTACGATCCAACGGTTGGATCTCTGCCGATTTCAAAAACTAATTAGCGGTTAACGTTTTATTTTATGAACTAACAATTCCAATTTAGGAAGATCCGTATGTCAGATTCCTAATCCGTAAATTCCTACATTCTTCAAATATTACGTAATACAATATAACAAAGTTTGGTGATGATCCAACGGTCGGATCGTTGATTCATACAAGAACCCCATGACGACTAACAAGGTGGTCAACTACGAAACTACATTAAAACATCAAAATTTCATGAAACGGATGCCAAATATGGAATCAGGGTATCCAAATTAGCCTAGAAAGGTCATATGGGGTCTCAACCCATGCGCCGCGCGTGGTGGCCGACCGCCACAGTTCGAATTTCACTATTTCTAAAAATTCTCAAATTTCACACAAATGAAGATATCAATGAGAGGAACAACTTTCATACCTGTCACGAGGTCCAAAAGTGGACGAAAGATGGTCAATTTTGCCCACAAAGCCGGCAGGTGCCTAAAACTTCGCGGCGTCGACCCGTCGTC